GGTGCTCTGGACGTTTGCACGGCGCGTGATTCCGAGCCCATCCCACCACAACCTGGCAATAATCCTGGCAAAGGCTGGGGCTGCCGTGGTGCTGGGGGCACCCGGCTCCCTCTTTGTGCCTGCATTAGGAAGAAGTCAGAGACGTGTGAAAAGTAGGCCAGGGGTCGGGSCGGTGCGGCGCGCCCGCCGAAATTGGAAGTGACGGACACCTCCCGGCTCAGCCGCTAATTTGCCTCCATGTTAAATGCCTCCGCAGACTCATTAAAATGAAAAGTTCTTGGGTCTCGCCGACAGACAGATTGAGTTATTGATGCTGGAAGCGGCCACCAACAGTAATTGCTGCCCATCCCCGAGCGAACGCCCGTTCTGGCATTCATGAGCAGCGCCAGGCTGACAGGGGTCAGGGGGGTCAACCCCACCGAAACGAGGCCGAGAAGAGGCAAAATCAGCCCTCTGTTCATCTTTGTGCAGCATTGCTTTTGTTGCGAGCAACTRTTTAGGTGTTCAAGCTGCTTTTTAGTCCTTTGAGGCCCAATTATGGTCCCCTTGTGCATCACCATTGACAARTTCTGTAAGCAGAACGTGACCACAAATATTGCAGTCTGAAAAAGTGACTTCTTACTCAGTTTGGCTGTCTTAGCTGTGTGTTCACCACTGCACGAGAGTAGAATTATGTTTTATTTGTGGAACAAATGGCGTGTGCATATGGTAGTGTAGTTTTCAGGATGTGTTAATTTGCACACAGCTTGGGAATCCAGGATGTCACGAATTTGGATTGCAGTTAGTGTTGTCTTTTTTTCTTTAAAGATGCAGTACTATTCTAGGAGACAAGAGTAACAAGATAAGTGTATTAGGTAACTAAACTAACCATTAAATTTAATACAAATTTGSTTTTCATTCAGCAGAGAGGCTGAGGTTTTTTTTCAATAAAGCTTCCCTTCCAGCAGTTTTCAACAGGTGGCCYAACATGGTGTTTCTTTTTCCCCCCTCAGTATTATGGGAAATCACCACTTGAGTTTAATTTTTATAAAAATAATTAAAAGGAGTTTTCATTTCTGTAAAGAAAATAGTTTTCAAACAGATTCACATGCTAATCTGTTGAGTGCTACCTTTAATAGCTGTATGCAAGTCTAAAATTACACGGCTGTGACCAGTGAGTTTACATACTTAATATTTTTTTAAATAGGAATGTAAAAACATCTCTGTGGGATGTTACCAGAAGTGTGTATTTCAGAAGAACCCTGCTATTCAGTTAAATAGTAAACATAGCTAACGTTTTCAGTTATTAACATTAATAAACATGAGGAGTTTTTTGTTGGTTTTGTTGGTTATGCTCACCATGGTGACCATCTTGAGGGTTTTTTCCTTGTTTCACAAATACGTGAAGTTTCTTAACACTTTGTTTTATTGTATCTTTCAGGAAACARAGGTGGAAAAGTTACAGAAGCATCTTTGCAGTCAAGCACCAAATCTCSTATTAGGCTTCACCGAACAGACTGAGCTTAGCATTTGTCAAGCAGAAGGGCCGGTCRCCCTCACAGGAAGGATTAAAAGTGAACAATGACTCGATTGARAGTTCATGAGCAATTGCTTGGAGCCTATCTGCTTATCATTCTCCATGTTCAAGGTAAATATGTACCAGTTGAAATAAGTTTATCTTTTTGATTTGTAACAGAGTTGTGTGTTTTCCAGTGGCTGAAGTAGGATTTTTTTTCTTTTGCAGGCAGATTACTTTGGCTTGACATGCCATATAGATGCTTCCCTAAAAAGAAGGACAGTGGTCATGCATTGTAGTATAGATTAGGTCTATTTTGTCAAATACTTAAATAGAAACAATATGAAGAATGCTTAGTACACCATGGAGCAGCAGAAGTGAAGGTTTGACTTGCTGAATTTCAGTTCCCTGTATGTGTGCATACTTGATCCCTTAACTTGACCCACTGGAGAACTTGCAGTGTGTGGCTCCCAGCAGCCTGGAGGTAGTGTGGCATAACTAATCTAAATTAACTTCTTGTGCCTACTTAATGGGCCAGAGGCTATGGGCTATTCACTAAAGCCCTCGTTTTCAGTGAATGAAGATACTCATTTGTATATCTGTCTTTCAGACACCAGTTGTCAAAAACCCCTCGAAATCCCGTTATCATTAGAATTGTAACACTTCTGTCAGATTGGGTTGAATTAAAAAAAAWAAAATGCAGCAGTGCCCTGCATGTCCAGCAGACATGTATATCCCTAGCTGGTCCCTGTAMGTGTATTTGTTCTCCCAGCTCTGCAGTTCTCATGTGCTTAAATACACAGAGTTTTCCAGGTATTTTCAGGATAATAGAGAAAACGAATTTGGTCCTGACATCTGAACACTTGAGTATAAAAGGTTTTATATTCTCATTCTGTATTTAGATCAGTTACTGCTTATACTTCAATTTGAGATATTATATGAGATACTTTCAAGAGTAACAATTCAGTGAACCTGTTAAAAATGGGGAGAGGAGGAAGCCTGGTAAGTACTCAAATGCCAGTCTTTTTGTTCTGTTTCTGGTGTCAATCTGCAAATTAGATTGAAGAATGTAGCAGAGCTGTCTCTTTCAAGACTGTGCTTGRTACAACTATTTGGACAGAAATAGCCCAGTTTTGGGTATAGTTGAGGTTTGTAGTACAGATTTACAAATATTTGCATATTGCTGCAAGGTGCTTAGATTGGTAGTGAGCATAAAATAAAGGAAATTTTGCTGAGAAATTAGGAAAGAAATTTTCACTGAATGTRGTTAAGTATTAGAACAGGCTGYCTGGGGAGGTTGTGCAAGATACATCCTTAGCAGATAGTCAGAACTTTGCTGCACAACCTGGTGTAATGTGAACTTGGTCCTGCTTTTACCAGGTGGTGATAACTTCCAGATCAATACTGAGGGAGTTCTGAAAGCCATGGAAAAGCTGAGCTTATTGAAATGTTGTTAGTTCTTTGCAAATTACTTAGGGGCTTTTCTTCAAACATACAAAATATGTTTGGTTCCAGGGACGGTGAGGAAAAAAACAGTCACGTCTCTGCTTTTCCCTAGATTTGTGGGGGAGGAATGAATTAAGTTGATWGTCATAAAACATTTGAAATTTTTATAGGAAAGGGACAATTTAAAGTGAGAAGTTTAAACAATTGAAAAAGTAGTTTCAACAGATGTTACAAAACTGCATCATAAAGCAGTCAAGAGAGGTGAAGAAGATTCTTTATAAAGAATTGAAAAGAATTTGTGTGATTTACAGAAAGTAGGGGGAAAAAAGTAGAGAAAGTAGAAACCAGTGTGTGTACTTTCAGTGTGTGGTATCCAGCTTAATGGTTCGCTTTCTGCGTTGTTGTTTTTTTTTTTTTTTGGAGGCTTCTTCAGCATGTTAGGAATTTCAGAGCTTACCAAGAGCTGAGAGAATGATAAAAGCAAGTGTATCTGTGTTCCTGCGTGTATATATACATACCAGATTCCTTAACAGCTAACTTGAAAAAGCAAGTGGCTGCATGTGTTGATTAATGTGAAAATATTCTTACAATAACAACAGAAACCATAGGCAGTTCCATGACGTTTCTGGTGAAAGGCATAAATTTCTCAGGTTGGTACTATGCAGCAGGGGGACTCAGTGGTTACTCTTTGGATTGTAACTTTATAGCTTATGGGACTTCTTCACGTTGAGAAATAGTCAAGAATAAGCCTGTGTTGCAGATGGACAGATTTAATAGCAACCTCTTCAAAATGTTTTTGTATTTCCTTTCTTGGCAATAGAAGTCTTTTACAGTCTTTCAAGGCCTTTGCAATACCTTTAAACCTCAGACTTGCTCTGCATCTTCATCCATCTCCTTTTCTGATTTAMGGTGAGAGGGTATTGGCTTCACCTGCAGTTGTGACTGCACTAAACAGGCTTTGTCTTCGCAGTAGTGCAGTGTTTTCCTTCAGAGAACCTGTTTTAATTCAGAGTGGAGTTCTTTCTTTCTTGTTACAGTGTATTGATGAGCACATCTGATCAATATATGTAACTGGGTAGCTTTTWAAACCCTTATASGGTTKTCTTGRTTTGAGACAATGTTTTCAGAGAGAAATGTTACAGGATAAATGTTTCCTCTGAAGTGAAAARGTTTGATAAWTTTTTCCCACCAATATGAAACGGGAGTTTGGGCCAATGTGAARAGAAAAATAGTTTATTAACAAAACAAGGTGCCCACAGGACGCTGATTTAAAAAAAAAACTGAGTAACTGTTGGATATTTGTGTTGCAATGCACGCGGCCCCCTCTCCTCCACAGCCGCTCGGCAGGTGGTGCAGAGAAAAGATGGCAGCTCCTGTCTCTGGGAAAAAGAAACAAAAGGAAAGGTCTRCATGGCCACTCAGGCAACAGTGGCAACCTGGTGGTAGTACTGTCCTCACTGTGCATGAAACAGAGGGCTCGGTGTGCTTTCCTCTGGCCACTTGGCTTCTCTGGAGTCCCTGCCGGCTCCYGGCTGTTCAGCGTTTGCCTCCTGGTTCTCGGACCGCAGCGCCGCCAATCTGTTCCAGAAAATCCCAGGAGTCACAGAAGGGGTGGCAGTCCAGGGAGAGCTGTTTGTCCAAGCTAACAAACCCGAGCTAGCTCAGCAGCAACAACGTAACTCCCCTGTACACAGGAAGCAGAACTCCCGCAGCAGTACTGAGCTGAGCTCCAAAAGCCCCCGGCAGCGTGGCAGCCCCGGCTTTTAACCACCCGCGCTGCCTTTCCAGCCACCCCTGGCCCTTCTTCTGGGTCACATTTAAAGGCACAGACACCTCTTGGGCATAAAAGCTGACGGAATTATAGGAATATAGGATTGGCACAAAATCAACCCAAGACAACAGTTTCTCAATTTCAGGTGAAATAGTTACTGAATTTGAATGTATAAACTAATCTGAAACAAAATTCTAAAAGCTATAGAAGGAACCTACCATTGTCCGTAGCTGATTAATTACTTGAAACACTAGTTGTGTTTACTGATGATTTCTCCAATTAYTCATTGTATCATACTTTAAAATGTGGGCAGCAAACATGTTCTTATGAATTTGATTAAAGTTCTTACAAGGGATTATTAAAAGTTGATCTATTTATGTATTAGAATTTTGCATTTAGGTTTAAGTAACTATTCTTTGAAAATCCATTTAATTTAAATTAGAATGCAGTGTGCGTTTTTAAAGTAAAATACACAATTTTCATGCCTCTGGCTTTTATATTTAGTACTTAGAGCAGAGTAGTTTCAGAAGTGACTTGGGAAAGGGAAGTGGGAGCAGAGGCTGAAGACTGCTGATTGGAAAGTAAAGGAGCAAGGGCTGCCTGTCTGTGTTGAACACTGGTGTAGGTCCTGGGAGAGCTGGAAGAGCAGGAGAGAGGTTTTAAACAGTAGTCTGGGAACATGCTATGATTTTTAGGAACCAGTTCTGCTAGATGGAGCTACCTCTAACGTGCCTGGTCTTTGGAGATCACAGCCTTGATACATAAGAAAGCACTATGGGGAGAATTATGGTTGGAATGCCAAACACAGAGTTCATAGAAGCATTTAAGATACTTTCTTTGTACTCATACAGATTTTCTGGTTCAAAAAAAATGTCTTTTTAGAGCAAGTGCTAGTATTGTATTCAAGCTGTGTCAGTTGTACCGAGGTTTAATTCACCTAACAGAACATGTTAAATCATTTTGAAAGTTTGTGATAGGCAGAAAGGTGAGWTGTGCTTACTGGAGTGGGTGATTTTGTAGTATCCTAAAGCAAGTAAAAGTCATTTAAAACCACCACATAAAAATGTCAAGGTATGTTTTTTCATAAGGAAGGCAAATGAAGAGCACTGGTGCAACTTTCATCTTGGACGAAAAGAGCCCGGTGCAAGTGAGCCCAGGACATCAGCGCCAGCAGAGAGGCAGGTGAAGGGGCACTTCTGACAAAGATTCTTTTTACTTAAATGTTGAATTTCTTGGAGTTTACAAGCATGGATCAGACTAGCTACAGAGAAATGCCTCTAGCATTGTAGTTCTGCTAGGACAAATCCCTTATAAGGATAATGTAGTCTGGAATAGAAATGTTTTTATGGGCAGCGTCTACATTACGAATTCAGAAAGTTATCAAATGACTGCTATAGGCYATAGTGGACCTTTATTTGTGGAGGAAGAGCGAATACAATTAAGTAAAAAAACTGTAGACATAATTTGGCTTTTGCATTTGTCTTCTTTCATTTACTGCTGTCTCTGCATTTCATAGAGCTGKTTTTTTATGGGTTGCAGAAATCTTTTCTTAGATCAGAAGACTTAATGAAATTATATCTGTATCCTGGCATTGAGTTGCAAGCAGGTTAACTCGGTTTTTAGTGATTCGTAACACTTCAGTGTCACGCACAGTACATTTTTAAGATTTATCCAYGTTAATATTCGTATTTGAAGCATGCTTTCAAGTAGACTTAGATTTCTAACCTAGTGRGATTTTTAATATCCTGTGCTTCTTTGAAATACATTTTACAGTCTTAAATTATTTTCTGTGATGGGAAGAAGTCGTGCTTTGAATAATTTATATTTTTGATCAARGGCTGGATATGAGATATTGGCAGGTGTTGTTCTGTTTTAACAAATTATTTTATASTAACTTCTGAAATTTTTATTTCATTAAAATAATGTTTAATTTAAAAAAATAATGCCATTTAAGTGTTGTCCTATCTGTAGCGATAGTTCACACTTCTGGAAATCTACAATGAATGTATGATGGGGCCAAGCAAATGACAAAATCAGAACTTGAAATTCTATCAGCTTTTTTGCCACCAGTATCTTACACTGTGTTTAAGTGAGAGGAATCTTCCCTCATGGCTCTGATATGTCATTGAATGCTGTAGCTTTGTAATGCAGTAAAATGCACATTACAGAGYAGTTTGTATGTTTAGAAGTCTATGATACTATTATTCTCAAGGCTGGATAAACAGGGCAGAAGTGATTCAGGATCTTGAACAAGTCCTCCATGTGTGATAGTTCATTTGTTGCTAATGTCTTTTTTTTTTTTTTTTTGCCCTGCCACCTCGGTGCAGTTTACAGGTGGAGGTTAGGAAAGATGGAAAGGAAGCTTTGCTGTGCCTGTAGTCTCTGGATGCTGCATTTCAGTGCACAGTACATGGCATTTACACCTCTGAAGGTTATGTGAGATTTGTGTATGTATGCTTCTTGGCTGTACTGCAGAGTCACAACTGCATATGTTGTGGAAGAGACTAATTACATCATTGGGTAGTGCAGTCCCTAAAACATGATCCTCCCTTTCACAGCTCTCARAGGGAAGATGCAGGAGTGTGAATATCTGAGAGCTGGAGCTCAGAGGGTAGGGGGATAAAGCTTGAAGCAAGATGGCAAGATGTTCTTTAGGCCTGTCCTTAATTCTCTCTTGTTCATTTACTCAGGAGCTATTAACCAGGAAAAACAGCACTGAAGCATCCTGTGAGTTCAGGACCTTCATCTGCCCTCTCACCATCTAAGGTGGATGGAAGCCAAGGCTTTCCACATTGCACTCCCATTCCCATACCTAGCAACTTCAAAATGGAAACTAAGCTGTCTTGAAGTGCTGAGGATGAATTGTAGTACTGCAGTAAAGGATACGGTTCTGGGTGATATCTGGGTGGAGGCAATCAAAAGCTATTTCCTGAAGTGATCCCAAGAATCCTGAAAATTTCCCTGTTCTCTTCCCTGTATGCTCAAACTCCTGTTTGAAAAGAGTTCTCTTTCCAGTCTTGGAAAGCAAAAATTCAAGAGTGAAGTGATTTTATTTTTTCCCCACTCTTTGTGCAGTTCAGGTATTATCTGCTTGAGGAAAGCAGCCTACTATGGAGTTTCACATTGCAAAAATAATGAAACTGTAGTGTGTTTCTGCTTTGAATAAAAATCTTTGCTATAGAAACCGTGCAAAAGGCAAAGATGCAGCTTCTTTGAGAATACAGTTGTCTGTTTTGGATTTTATTTGGTATGTGCTCTTCATAAATCTTGTAATGTTATGATCCATCATAATAAATGAAGAGGGAAAATGTAATTAATCTCACTTTTCATATAAAAAGTTGGTATACCTGTAGTGATGCTTCAGTGTTAGTTTGCAAAGAATTATACTGCTTTAAAAGATGCCAGACCTGCAAAAAAATGCTGTTCATTCTGTTCTGAGCTAGGAGAAGTCATGCTTGAAGGGTTCCTTGGATTTCTCATCTAATAAATTGAAAAAAATATTGCATTCAGTGGTCAAGGTAGGAAAATGGATGTAAGACACTGATCATTACAAGTCTGAATACTTGTAATGTGTGGAATGTTCCTGAAGATAAGGGGAGTTTTGTAACATTAATTGGGAAGGATACCTTAGTCATTCAGGAAAAATAGAAAGACAGACAATATTTGTACATATGCAGTGGATTTTCATCTGAATGTTAAGTAGAACTACCTGTTCTCTGAGCAGGTAAGGATCTCTTAAAAGTGAATACAGAATGTTGCATAATGTCTGTTGCACAGTATTAATTTTATCTTTCAGTTTATGCTGGGAAGAACTATATGGCAAGACACRGGGGGTGGATGGAGAAGCTGTTTCAGTTGTGCAGAATTCCTCTTGGTTTAGATCAGAAATACCTATAACCTACTGTTWTTCTAGCACTGGACCTTGTTTCTTGTTAACAGTCTGTACATATCAGGACTATTTAACTTGGGCATTACTGAAGTACCATTTGAAGACCACATGCTAAATAAAACACTGCTAAGTGATTTCAGTGTTTAGGAACATGGTGTATTTCTCAGGATATGCTCTCARTTGTATCCAAAAGAAGCACAGTTTCATTTGCTGCGTTGGACAGTGCACTGGGTGTGCTGTGTTAACCAGATGAGGAAACTGTAAATTTGCTATTTTCAGAGCAGGAGGATCAAATTTCACAAATACTTTGCTGGGCATTTGTCTGAATGACATAGTGGCTATTACAGTAGAGTGATAGAGACAGAGGGCTGTATCTGCACAGGGTTTTAATCGGTTTTTTCTGCACGAGTTTCAGGCAAGGTACAACAGGATGCTAATGTTGTCATCACTCCACAGCTCTTGTTTGCTAGGTTTGACAGGAAACCACAAGCATCTGTTCCAAGAGACCGTGAGTTTCCTGGTCAGGTTTCTTCTCCTTAAAAAAATWGAAATTTTTATTGTAACCTCCATTTTTTTTACTAATAACCGTATTTGTAAAAGCTTTTTCTGGTCCTGTCTGGCTCATCTTATCACACTGAGCCTCACACAATGCCTTGCTGTGATCTGTATCAGTGCAGGTGATAGTTTGTTCACAACTCTTCTGTCTCTATTTGGTTCATACCTTGAGGATTCAGAGCCAAAGTGGTGAACAGAAAGAGACTTCCTGTTGGTAAAATCGTGTCTGATAAAGCTGTAGGAGATGGGTAAAAATGTTCTCATCTCATGTAGTAATCACATAGCATATATTTTTTCTGGATGTTCTTCACAAAGAAGGAAACAGATGCGTGTTTTCTTCTGAATGCCTACATTCACARAAGCACTTTAATAATCTGAACAAGAACAAATTATGTTTAACTCTGCCACTGTTGAGAAACTGAGGGCTACTTGGAACATGATGTAGCCCTGTTTCTATTCTGTGAAAGATCGTTTGGATGGATGTTCATGTCATTTACCAAAATTTAATTTGCAAACAAGATTCACTTCAGCTGTGTTTTGAAGTACTAATGTATACAAAGATCAAAAAAACCAAGAGATTTTGGAGTTATTACTGCTCTTCCATGTGACTCTGAATCTATAAAAAATTACTTCAGAAAATTAGAAAATTGCATATTAAGTATGTTCAGTCATGCATAAAATTATTCTTGTTGTGGTTATCAAGCCATCAGCATTTTTTTTTTCTAAACCCATGAGTGAGAGAAGCTTTCTTCAGAAAATTCTGRCCAGTTACACCACTACTTTTCTGCCCCACCCCGAAAAGAGAAAATATCTTTCTGTTTACATTGATTATGGTCGAAGATCTGCTTTAAGGTACAAAATACTTCAGATAGGTATTTCTGGAATAAAAGTATCGACTCAGATTTCTACCTTAATCTTGGGAGAGGAGATTGCCTTGTTGTCGTGTTTTGCCTGTAAAACACTTGAACAATTATCGAAGAGATTAAAACATACTTTTTTTTTGTTGTTTTTTTTCATGTCCAGGTCAAAAGCTAGACAGCATGCTTCATGGTACGGGAGTGAAGACAAATTCTGACCAAAAGAAACAAGCGAATGGAGTCACACTTGCTCCAGAGGACACCTTACCTTTCCTTAAGTGCTACTGCTCAGGACATTGCCCAGATGATGCCATTAACAACACATGCATGTAAGTACTGCATTCSGGATGGAGAGGCTCTTTGAAGAGGATCATTTTGGCTCTTGAGAGAGCAGACTACCTCTAGAGGCTGAGCAAGGTTCTCTCAGGTGATCTGACCATAATCGATTAGACATTCACTGGTTCTGAGAGTGCTAAAACTCCTGGTCATCTCTGTGCAAACAGTGCTGTTCTCACCACACCTTAGAACCAACTGGTCATTTTAAGCCCAGCAACTGCTTTGAAGGAGGGAGGTTTTAAGTAACCCTGTGGTTTTTTATAACTGGTATTAAGTGACCCAAATCTAAGCCTTCTGACGCGACCACCTGTTTGCTTATTTCTTCACCTAGCAGTCAAAAAGGTAATGTAAAAAACAACATAGGCATTTACTGAGAATTCTTTCTGATGCGTGTGCAATAGTTACAGACTATGAAGGAAAGGCAGGGGAAAATGAAGAAAAGCCTGTGGACATGTAGAGACAGGAGGGGAGTTTTTTATCTTTTACAGGCAGAAGAATCCTAACAGATTCATGGCAAAGGTTATATATATATGTGCTTGCTTAAGGTGGTTTGTTTCATGTTCTGAAATGTCCTCGCTTTGCCTTTTTTTCTCTTCATTTGCAATTCTGTGTTCAAGGCCCTTCTGTTTTCTTCCTTCAGAATTAATATACACAATTGAAAACATATTACTTGTTTCTGTACTTCATGTCCTCACTTAAACATAGTATTCAGTCTCTCTAAAGGTGTCACTTGGCAGATAAGGCAGTTTTTATAGAACCCAAGGAGGTAGAATAAACACTGCTGTCTTTTTAAATGTAAATACAGGCAGTAACTTATAAACAGTTTTGAACTGAGAACACGTTCCAGTATTTTGTTTTTCAAGCCCTTTGGTATTTATTTATTGGCTTTTATTGCCCTCTAGTGTATGCAGTCAGTATAGGCCTTACTATTTGTCTGACCTAGTGACTGTAATAAGTTATTATGCTGATAATAAAGCTGTTAAAAACACACTGTGTCCATTTGCACGGTATTTTATGGCATTATGCTTTCTGAATTAATTTAAATAGATTTTTTGGTAAACAAAATTATTTCTAGGTTTGTTTTCTTTACTATCTGTGTTGAGAGAATGCATGAATATTTGTGAGAATATTATCCCCATTGTGTTCTATTTGAGAATACTGTGGGGGTCTCTTATTCTCACACTGGATGGTAACCACTGTGTTAARGAATTTTTCCAGAAGTTTTCATTCTACTTTCTTAATGGGTTCTTGGTCAGTTAATGCTGCATATTAAATGACAAACATGCTGGTAAAGCACACATGATATGTTTATTCCAGAACTAATGGGCATTGCTTTGCTATCATTGAGGAAGATGAACATGGAGAACCCACGCTTGCTTCTGGCTGCATGAAGTATGAAGGTTCAGACTTCCAGTGCAAGGTGAAAAAAAAAGAGATTTAAACAAGTGCCTTACTTTGTTTTATTTTCATGCCCCTCCCTCTTTTCTATGGCATTCTGAAGATGTTTTTAAAGCAAACTCTGCTGCTATGATGAATATAAGAGAACAACTTCTAAAGGGATTGTCTTTTTTGTGTTAAGAGCAGTATTTATTTAACATTTGGTTAACTAGTTTTGACAAAGGTCAAGACTTTTCCCATAGTTCCCATATTTCCCCAAGAAATAGCAACTTAAGTAGAAAACTATCTATTTCTGTGAAATACAAAAAAATGCAAGATCAAATGTAGGCACTCAGAGATGAGATGTCTGTCTGCCACGGCAGATTGGTCTCCTGCATCAAATGGTGTGGTTGAAGTGCCTTTTGAATGAAATAGCTTATGCTTTTSTCTGTGCTGTGTTGTAGCTGTCACATCCCCGTCCCCATTTTAGATTCAAAATTGCAATGTTTGTTCAATTCTTCTTCAACAGGATTCGCCTAAAGCACAGCTACGTCGAACGATTGAGTGCTGTCGTACTGATTTCTGCAATCAGGATTTACAGCCAACRTTACCACCTCTTGACAGTACAGGTAAACAACTCCTGTATGTTCATGCTGCTGCTAAGAAATGCTCTGTAGGTTCTGTTCTTCCTGATCAATAGTAGAAATAAGGAGAAAATGTAAATATAATATTGCACAGATCTAGTTTTTTCCTCACTAAGTAATTTCTATATGAAGCTCTGTACTACACTTCATTTTCTGTTTTCAGTTTTCCTTTTTTGCCACTCTCAAGTTAATCTTTTCCTCTRTCAGTCACTCATGGTATTTTTATTCTTGTTCTTAGTGTGCTCATATCTTGATCTGCATGTGATCTTTTYGTCTGTTTTTATTCTGTTTCCACAGTCTGATTCTTTTAAAAATGTTTTTCTTATATTTTACCATTATGAATGCCATCATAAAAAAAGTATTCTGACCTTGTTAACACCTATTTATTGCAAATTCATTCCCTTCTTTCTGACATTCCCAGTGAAAATAGTTTGTTTTCATGTGCTTACTCATTCATTGCTAGGCAAGTCGTACTGGTTTAATTGTTGCTTTATACCTTCTCAGAATCTTACTGCTCTAAATCTTYCATTTCTATTTCTAACAAACTAGCAAGAGTCAAACAAAACCAGCAACTCCAAAATCTCAAGCTAAATCTTTCTTTCTTTTTCTTTTTTTCATTTTTCTTTTTTTTATTTTTTTGGTTGTCATCAAAATGAAATTACCCTTGCTTTTCTGGTAAATATTTACTTCAATACACAGTATATGAAAACATACCTAAATAAACTGTTTACAGTATTTGTTTAATTAATAGACTTTGGAAACTTTCTCTTTTTTTTTTCTTTCTACTTTTTTCTTTCTTTTTTTGTCAAATAGATGGACTTTTTGATGGCAGCATTCGTTGGATGGCACTGTTGATTTCTATGGCAGTCTGCATAATTGTCATGGTCATCTTACTTAGCTGCTTTTGTTACAAGTAAGAAAGCACTTTATTGGCAACATTTTTTATTTTGCATATCGATATAAACAGARCAGTTAGTTTGCAAATGTGCTCAGTTAATCATGTGTAGATTGGGAACAGTTGTAGTTTAATTTCACATTTCTGTGGGTAGCAGTTTCTATCACTATGTAAAATGAAACATTCATGGCAGAGAATTAAGGTGAATTTGATCTTTTCTTCTGGCTATAAAGTRCACTTTTGTGAGCTACACATAAGTGATGCTATAGCAAATGGTAAACAGGAACATGTTCATCTTTTATATGTTTTGGGGTCTTCAGTCACTTGCAATAGTTAAATTTCATCTACTTCTAAGATTTTCCTTTTTCTGCTGTGTTTCCAAAGTAAATAATTGTCCAGCTGAGCTATGGCAATCCATTCAGGTCCTTCTGTCAGCCCCACCCCTGTGCTGGAGGTGGTCACTGTTCTAGCAGTTTCCAAGGAAAGGTGCTTGTGTCAGCCTCAGCTGTCGTAGTTCAAGGTTCTGTCTGCTCATTTAAACCWAAWTCAGCATTGTTGTGCTGGTAAAACYTGCTGAGAGCTGAGTATTTAAAAGTGTTGGGTTTCCACCTGACTGATCATCAGCTGACACACCTGTACATTCATTACAGCAACTTCTTAGCATTATAAAGCTATGGAATTTACCTTTCAGGAAAAGAAAAAAGAAACAGTAAAATCTGATACTCTATTTTTATTTTTGAGGAATTTTCTGTATTTAAATAGCTCTTTTCCTAGATCAATTTGTTGCACTTTGGAAGTGTTTTGGAGCTCAGTTTAACTTACGTTACTTTTGCAGGCATTACTGTAAGTCGATGGCAAAGAGGCACTGTTATAATCGGGACCTGGAACAAGATGAAGCATTTATTCCAGCTGGGGAGTCATTAAAAGACCTTATTGACCAGTCACAGAGTTCTGGGAGTGGATCAGGRCTACCATTATTGGTAAATCATAAACTAAGATTTTTCTTCACTGCATTTCTCTCCATCACATACAAAGTTTGGTTTGTATCTAACACCTTGAACAAAGCAGTTYGTTCATAGAAAATGCTAAGTATTTTATATGCCATTGATATAAAATGATGAAGTATGAAAATAYAAGTTTAAAGTACATGTTTAAAGCCCATCTTCCCATAATTAAAATGAAGTGCAAAATTAGATATGCTGCAAAAAATCTGTTGCCATTAGCAAAATTCAAGAAAACTTAGAGCCTACAGCCATCAAGACAAAAGTGCAAGAAATTACATGTGATCACAAGTATCAAATTGAGTGAACTAAGAGATTCTATGTTCTTAGTATCCAYTGACCATTAAAATAGATTTGCTTTTTTATTAAAAGAGAAGTATTCAGGGAGACTTTMGGGCAACCTTCCAGTACCTAAAGRGGCCTACAAGAAGGYCAGAGAGGGACTTTTTACAARGRCGTGTAGMTATAGTATGAGGGGAAATGGCTTTAAACTGAAAGAGAGARGGTTTAGATGGGATATTATTMGGAAGAAATTCTTTACTGAGGATGGCAAGGCACTGGARCAGGTTTCCTAGAGAAGGTCTGTATGCCCTGTGCCTGGAGGTGTTCAAGAACAGTCTAGATGGGGCTTTRAGCAGCCTGTTCTATTGGAAGGTGTCCCTACCCATGGCAGAGGGGTTGGAAGTGGATGATCTTTAAGGTTCTTTCCAACTCATTTTGTGATAGTTGGTCATCATTTTTTTCATTCACTGTCCTATATAATACTTGAATGAAAATTAGCCAGTAAGACAGATGACTTATAAAATAGAAATAGAATACAAGAGAGTATACCCAAATTCAATCAGAAGTTGAGATTGGAGGTAATAGTAATGAGTCCCAAATTGGAATAGTGAAAAATTTCATGGAACAAATTTTACAATGGGATCAAAATTTAAAGCAGTCCAAGCTTGACAGGCAGCCTGGCCAGGTACTTTTGGTTAACRACTGTTTCYCTYCTCCACATTACAGTTTSTTCTTCCTTTCCTTTCTTTTTAATTTTGGGGCTTTTGTCTTTCTTAGGTTCAGCGCACTATTGCCAAACAAATTCAGATGGTGAGGCAAGTTGGAAAAGGACGATATGGTGAAGTGTGGATGGGCAAATGGAGGGGTGAAAAAGTTGCAGTCAAAGTGTTTTTCACCACAGAAGAAGCCAGCTGGTTCCGAGAAACAGAGATTTACCAAACTGTTCTCATGCGCCACGAAAACATCCTCGGTAAGGCAGCAGAACATTGCTTGGCTGCTGGAGGGCAGGTGTGAGGGTGGAGGAGCTCTCAGTGGGTGGCTTGAGGGATCTAAGKCTGCTTCTGTGGAATAACCAGATGGATTTCCCTTAATGTGTGCTATTAAAATGTAATTGAAAGGGCATAATCTTGTTTGGAAACRTGTCTGCGGTCTCTTTGCTGGAAGACTGGACTGGTATCTCACGTGCAGATGGAATCAGAGCTTCTGCGTGATTAGTTTTCATAAGGGGAACATGTATCTTCTGATTCAGTTCAGAAAACACAGCTTTAGGAATTACCACTGAATCTACTACATAAAAAATGGATGTACAAATAAATAATTACTTGCTTTATGTATTCCATAGGTTTCATAGCAGCAGATATTAAAGGCACTGGCTCGTGGACACAGCTTTACCTGATCACAGATTATCATGAAAACGGATCCTTGTATGATTTTCTGAAGTGCACTACGCTGGACAACAGGGCTCTGCTCAAATTGGCCTATTCTGCTGCGTGTGGCCTGTGCCACCTACACACAGAGATCTACGGGACACAGGGCAAGCCTGCCATTGCACACAGGGACCTGAAGAGTAAAAACATCTTGATAAAGAAAAACGGAACCTGCTGCATCGCAGACTTGGGACTTGCAGTCAAGTTTAACAGGTAGAAGGAMAAATCCTCTGTAATGGGAAGGCTTTCATGTGATTTTTTTATTTAATGCATTAGATACCTAGTTTAAAAGGAAGACAGAATCACTTGGTTGCATGATTGCTCTTTTTTTTTTTCAGTTTTGAGAGTAAAATGTTGTTCTTGAATGCAGGTAGACGTCATGGTGAAAATAATTTGTTAAGAAACCATGAAAATACTCTTCTTATGGAAAATAGAAGTTTTGTAGAGGAAATGAAGAGGGGACTTTTTTTCATTCAAATCTAGCCTTTCATAGTAATTGAAATCACGTAAATTCTTTCATAGAGAAATTGAACAGTGTATAGATGTGATGCTATAGCAGTATTATTAAATACTTTTATTATTTCAGATTTTATGAAGACAGAGAATTGTCTTTTTAGTGATTGTGTCTTACAGGATTTCACACCTTGTAACAGTGTATAATTCACTAACTTTTTAATGTTTTCATGTAGTGACACAAATGAAGTTGATGTTCCCTTGAACACTAGAGTGGGGACAAAACGTTACATGGCTCCAGAAGTCCTGGATGAAAGTCTGAATAAAAACCATTTCCAGCCATACATCATGGCTGACATCTACAGTTTCGGGCTGATCATTTGGGAAATGGCTCGGCGCTGTGTCACAGGAGGTAAACTTAAATATTCTCTATAAAATCTGCCAAGCCCTTCCCTCACTTTAGCAATGCTTCACCTGGAAATAATATAATTAACTTGCTGTATCATGAGGCTTGTTTTCTTTTAAAGAAAACACATRTTTTTGTGTCCTGGCTTTGCTTTTGCTCTTCTTTTGTATCTTTATAGGTCCTCRACCTGTATTCTTCTTCCATCTTACATTTCTCTGTGCTTCTTTGTAGAATGTAGTGGATTAGAAAAAGCCAAATTCAGCATTTGGTATCAAAATCAAAGGCACTACAAGGAATTAGTAACTACTAAAGCCAATAGTCATAATATTTGAGCTTTTATGGTAAATGATTGTTGTAGTGAAATTTTCAGGTTTTTACCATAGTAAAACAGCGTGGCACAAAATKGAGTTAATTTTTGCTCCTGACTAAGGAAATCCAAGAGTAGACATATAGATTTATTCATTTGAATTGATCTTAATGTTTYGCAATTCTCTCCAGGTATTGTTGAAGAATATCAGTTGCCATATTATGACATGGTGCCAAATGATCCATCCTATGAGGACATGAGAGAAGTGGTGTGTGTCAAACGCCTGCGCCCAGTGGTGTCGAACAGGTGGAACAGCGATGAAGTGAGTGTGCTGAGAGGAAAAGCTTCTCCAGTTTGTTCATTAATATGGGAGGGTGTTTTAGTTTAATAAATATTAAAATGTTGTAAAACAGGGACTGCCTTCAGATATTCTGATACTTTGAAAACCTCATAGCAATAGTAGGAGAACAATTCAAAATATTGTATTTTTAATGCATCTATTCAGTGATCCAATGGGAATAAACCCTAACCAGCATCCAAGTGCTTTAATACTGCTCTACTTGAGATAATCTGTTTTAGATAGTGGAATATATTTGGAGTTTTAATTGAAGCTAAAACTCCAGATGAATTTTTAATTGATTTTATTTTATAATATAATAACCAATATAACTTATTAGTTTGTGGCATAAGATATTTCATCAAAGATGAACTAGTTCCTTTGTGGATTTCCTCTTTTTTTTTTTTTCCTTTTTTACTGTTACATCACAGGACAGGCTGTGGTATAATTCAAATAGTTTAATTTAGACATGTTTTTAAAGGGCCACGGCTTGAACACAGTAAATAAGACATAATAATGTAATGATAAGACATAATAATAAGTAATTATTTCACATTGTAAGTCAGATATGCTGTATCTATTCCTCCCCAAGTCCTYGTCTTCTGTGAATTCCCAATTTTCTCTCATTTTGTATTTTGACTGCTAAAAGAACTGTTGTCACATCTTCATTTTCCATGAACAAATTCTCTGTGGTTTTCCAGCCACATATGTGGAGATTTTTCTGCTTGCTGCTGCCATATTTGTAGCACTGTTCTTGAGTTGTACCAAGAAGTTCTGATAATGCACCATGGGGAGGCTAAATCAACGCTTGAGTTAGTTCCAGCTGCTGTAATACTAGGCAGTGAGGGAGAGGGAAAAGAAGGATTGGCATGGGGATTTGGGGTTTGTGGTGGTTTGAGTTTTTGCCCTCAGTAGATCGCTTTGTAATTGTTTTCTGCCAATAATTCTGCAGAAAATATGGAAGTTGCACATTTGGACTTGAAAGTTCTGTGATTTGAGCTTGACAATAAACCAGAATTAGACACCTCAGATGTAGCAGTTGTTGCAACAGCGTTCTTTGTTTTTCCTTTTGCAGTGTTTAAGAGCAATATTGAAGTTGATGTCTGAGTGCTGGGCCCATAATCCTGCCTCAAGGCTCACTGCTTTGAGGATCAAGAAGACACTTGCCAAGATGGTGGAATCACAAGAYGTAAAGATTTGACATAGGAAACTGACTTTGGAGAGCAAAGCTGGACTCCCTAGATCTTCTCACTCCGACGTGGGTGAGGAAGATAGAAATAGGAAAGAGGAAATAACTGAGATTCAGTATATTTTCTCAGCACACTTCTACAGGCTGCTAAYGAAATCTTCCAGTACTTCACAGACCGTGGTGCTGAGAGCTCTGTACACTACATGCCATGGATACGGACAGCCTTGAGAAAATACACGTTTTGTTTTGGTTTGAGCTGCATTGAGACTTCAGTCATACTTAGTGAGTCTCCAGTGAAACTCTGGGTACTGAATTGAATGTTCAGATTACAGTGCTTTCTGTGAAAGCCTAACAAGCTATATGGATACAACAGAGATGGAGAATATAAGCTTTTTTTTTTTTTTTTTGCCTTCTACCTGATAAAACCTAGTCAATCCATACCAAGTTTTTGTGAAACAGCCTGTAGGTTATCAATCTGTTTGTGATACTGCTCAGTTTAACAGTTCTTTATGCCTTTATGTGTGTGCCAGGATTATTTTGCTGTCATTTGGAATATATAAGAAACCATTTAAATGAACAAAGTTTTATGGTCAGGGTTCCATGCGTTTTGTGGTTCCACAATTAGAGATTTGCTACAGAATCTTTTGCCATTAAGTTATCTTCAGAAATCTCAGTTTTAGTCTTGTTTCTGTTTTTGTTTCTGTCACAAGGAGATCTGCAGAAACGTATACCATTAATCAGTTAAGGAATGCCTACCTAAATCTGTAAGGAGCTTGAAACAATCTCTTCTCGAGGTGTAGGCTGTCCTGGTCATCTCACAGTYTGAGAGCTCCATAACTGCATGTCTGAAATTTGTCATATTTTTTCACAGTGCCACATGCAACCAGCATTTTTGCCATAGAATGCTTTACATCTTAGCAGAAACACCGATGGTGATGTGTTTTGCCTTCCTGCTGTATTGGGATTCATTGATAGGTGCCTGTCATGCTCTGGACTACTCCCCACAAAGGAGGGGCTTTGTCATCTGTAGCAGGATGCTCTTTTGTCATTTGACAAAACCAGGCAGAGGGTGAGTTTTGAAAGGCTTGAGAGCAAGTGTGATTCACAGACACAGAAGAGGGAAGGCAGGGAGCTCTGGGTGCTCTGAAGATTAGAAAATGCAGCAAAGGTCAAGACCAGGAGAGCTGAGTRTGTGAACTGTCGAAGATCAGATCCACAGCATGCAGAAGATTTGGGGTGCCCTGCTGTAGACACAGGAGGCCACATCTGTGAGCCACTTAGTGGAAGTGAAGATTTGAGACAAGGTAAATCAGTGGATGTTTTAAGTTCTAGTTAAGCACGTTTGGGAGGAATGGCATTGAAATTAATTCKTGAAGATACAGTGCGTTAGTGCAATTGCAAAACTTGGTTTTGTTGTGCCAACTGTTTGACCTGCACAAGAAACTGAAGTTCCKCCATTTTCACCACTGACCCACACAAGCTGGTTGGAAGCCAGAACCCTCCATGAGGTTACTGTAAGGCAGAAATATGGATTTATAACTCCTTTGGCACTTGTACTTGAAAGTTAGAAAATAGTACCATAACTCAAGCTGAAGCTTCAAAGCATGAATCATCTGAAGAATGATCGCGCAGTATTGGATCCATCGAATCTATCTGATAATTTAAGTGCCTATAACTTTGTACTGTAAATCTTGTTCTAGATAACTTTAAAAAGGGAAGTTATTTATACAGTGTGTTTTGTGCTTTAGTAGGAAAAAAACCCAAGAAAAACCAAGATATACCTAATCCTAAGTACATGTGTACAATTACATATATGCACACACACACATGCCAGATTWAAACTTCAGATTGATCTATGCCAGATTATTTGTTATCTTAAAATATATACATGGGTATTATTTTCATGTGTTTAAATTTCCCTTGAAAATACAACTGATAGAAAGCAATGTAACACAGAACTAATGTGATTTGTGAACCAATACAGCCTTCTAGCATGTTACTTTTTTGTTTTCATCCTATAGTTCCCATAATGTAAATGGTCAGGCAAAAGATTGCAGTATTTTTATTTTCTATTGTGATGTACAGACTTTATTTAACAGTTCTACATATTTTATAGAAAACTAGCTATTTCGAGGGACTTTTTTTTAATAAAGTCATTACTTTTGTTTAGTAATGCCTTTAAGTATTAATATGTATTCTGGCTGAAAAGTTCATAGGTGTGTCAACTTTAACTTATTTGAAAACAGCAAGAGATATACAATATTGTGCCACAATCCTCATGATAAAGGGCTTTTTAAAAAAAAAGTTTCTCCGTCCATTGACAAGAAATATGTGATGATTTTGAAATTGTTAATCATGTCTTCGCACATAATTTTTGCACAGGTAGTTGGAAAATTTTTGGTATAAGCCAAAAAAATGTAAGGGATAAGCTTTTTTATTTCCTTCTCTAGAATTTTTTATCAATAAGAAGGAAAAAATGTTTATGTAGGTACCCTGCTAGCTTAAACTTTCAAAGCATGGAGGTCTGTTTAAATTAACCCCGTCCTATTTAGGATGAATCTGTCATTTGTTTTAGAAGTTGCCACATCGTTACGAGCTGTAAACACGTTTTGAGGATTTTTTTTTTTTTAGTTCATTTTCCCAAGTCTTTAGGACACCCTGCTGAAAGTATAAATTTTAATAGTTTGTTATTTTTCACTTATTTCCTTTTCCATTGTTTAGGTATATGCAAGGCAATAGGATGGTTAGACCCCTTAGGACCTAATTTAATTTACACTTTTACTTTAGCATAGAGTGAACTGACTGCTGCTGCTGATTTTTTGAGAGAAAAAACCATCTTTTTTGCCTTAAATGTAATTTTTCAGCTTTTCAGTTAGTCTGTTCATACTCAAATGTATCATGCATGTGCTGAACAGGAGCTTCCTTGATTCTGATACTCCATGAAATGTTAAGACTAAAGGATGTCTATACTGATACTTTATTTGTATCAGTACAGTAATTGATAACAATTATTTGGGGAAAAGAATGTGTTTAAAGTCAGCCTCCTAATTTTTACATAATTAAACATAATTAATGCAGACTCCAAAGGTAAGTTGTTACTTTATGTGATCCTGTAGAGTTCAGAAACCCTTAAGGACAGGGAGGGTTATAGATTTCTTCTGTTGGACTGTGATTAATCTCATTTTGCTGGTGAAAATTTTAAGCATTTGTCATCCAAAAAAATTTCCTCCAAAACTGCAAATGTATTTTCATTCTTTTTTGTTTGTCTAATACAAAAATCAACTGTGTGAWAAATATCTTGGGGAGTATCAAGACCGCCTTGGAAGTTCTTAAACACTCATAAGGATGGATTTTTTTGTATTTAACCTGTTCCTGAGATTTTAGTTAGATGGAAATAATTGGAGTCACTTGATTCTTATTGTTACGACAACTAAAATGAAAGTTTTTGTGTTCCTGGTTAACTTGTAAATTCCACCAGAAATGTGTTAGTCCTACAGAAAAAAATTGGCTTACATTCTGAGTTTTACTTAATGTATTTTTTCCTCAACAAACAGACAGTTTTCCCAATATCCAACACTTTTTCCCATTTATTTTCTTAATTAGTCTTTTTTGAGGTCTTGAATGAAATGTAAAATTAATATTTTAAGTTACCTCCATAGTAGTCTAGAATCGAATTTCAGATCTTGATCTAAAATGACCATTTGAATGTGTTTATAAAACAAATCATTCGGATACATTTCATCTACTCTCTCTTAACAGACTGTATTTTAATGGTCTAAAGTGTTTGAAGAGCAGAGATATAAAGTTAAAAAAAAACATTCTTTTGCTATTGCAGATATTTTTAAAGGGAAGTTACATGCACATCTTCTGTGAAATATTAAGATGATTAAGCCTTTCCTCATTCTCCTGACAGTGCCTCTGAGTCCRAGTGTTTATCCTGTGCCCACAATCTTTATTCCCAGTAGGGGTGATGTCTAAGAACAGCTGGCAGTGTTGTACAGTACGGTGCTTTATGGAACCATGGCAATCAGCTGTGGTTGTACAGCAGAAGTAGAGGGCACATTACTTCTGATATTTGACAAATCTAATGTAATTGTTGCTTTGTAATATTTTACTGTTTAATGCAATTATAGAAGCCCACATCATGTAGTGACATTTGTGCTCTGACATGACATGCCCAAAATGAAATGTACTATATTGTATACAAGAAGAATAAATAACATTGTAGTTAACCTAGAGAAGATGTAAATAAAATATGAAAGAAGAATGGAACAAGACAAATGGTCACACTCTTGTGTGTTATATGCCAGAAGTGTAGAATACTACTTTAAAAATGTAACACACTAATGTATTTTGTACAGCATCTGCTTTAGAAGGTGCCTTATTGAGTTTACCATTAATTGCTTGTTCTGTACACAGATTATGTCCAATGTATCATTTTTAAGTAAATAACCTTATTTTAGTACACATTAGTAATGTGTTTTGTTACTATAAGATTTTGCCTTAAAAGTGTAATGACTTGGAAATCATAATACTGTAACTAAATAATTCCCTACTTTTTCATACTTCATTTATGGTTTCCCCCTCAGTCTCTGAATAAGTTGTCAGTTATTGCTTTCATTGGTCAGTGGTGTTGAGAATTATTTGGTGCTCTGTAAGTTCAGGCTTTCTTCTTTGCACTAAACTTGTGTGCAACGGTAAAAAACAGTGTTTCCTTCTCCTGATTTTTATCCCTGTGTTGCAGCAAAGCCAGAAGCAAGTCAAAATCAAATAATGCTTCTATTTGAACATATGCAAGCTCCCTACATGTTGGTTTTATCCATATAAATTTGCCTCAAACTTATCAAGTAAAAAGAGAAAAAAATAAAGGGATGGGGAATTTTGTAATTGYTTTTTGTTCCCTCTGTGTACAATGTTCTTTTTGTGTAATGTATCCAAATTAAGAGATTTTAGTTTAATATGAATACGTACTGTTTGCTGGAAGAATATGCAGGTGCCTCTCTGTGTCCTGCTAAATTCACTCTGGTTTTTATGATTCGACCAAATGAAGATCAGCCAAGGGGATATCTCGCTTGTGAGTGCACAATTATATAAATGTCAGAATTTGTTTTCTAATTGCAGAAATGCATTGGCTTCTATTCTTCATAGAGTTCACCTTTCATTTGTAAGGAGGAAGAAGTAAGATCAGTTTCTGTTCTGTTTTGGCCTTTAATCAGGTATAATCTTAGATTTAAATATTTTTTTTTTTTACAGCAGCTAGAAAGGTTTGGTATCTGAACATCATACAAACTGTTACTCGTAAATTACTAAGACAATTATAAACCTTTATTTGTTTCCCCTATACAATCAAGTGTTAAATTCTTGCAGTAGAGTTCTGGAAAGTGCAGTGGAAATATTAGATGATGTAATTTCAAACTTTTCTTTCCTTAATACATAACATCAGGAAATTGGACTACACAAAGTTTTGGTCTCCTTGAATTAGTATCTTGGCAAAGTAAACCTTTTTCCTATGGCTGTGGCCACGATGTTGTTTGTGGGATGTCCTCACTGATTGCAGCGGTCGTGGTTGGATTTAAAAGTGGGATTTCATGTCGGCGTTGCAGGAGGACATAATGAAAACTGGGTAAATGTTTGTGCCCAGCCGTGTGTAATGAGCAGGTTCCTCCCGGTGGTGTTTGGCGAAACGGCCACAGGGTGCTGCTGTATCCTAAAGGAAGAGCTTTCGGCAAAAAACTGGGGAGTTCTGAGAAGTGAAACGCAGTTCAGCTGTTTGCTAATAATAAATATCAAAATGTTCTCCTTTATATRTCACAATGTTCTCCTTGTATATTTGCATACGTTTGACACGTATGTAAAATACGTTACGGATGAGCTTCCATCAGTATTTAAGAACTGAAACAGCTGGATCCAGTGGAATTTGTAAACACAGCTGTGCTAGGATATTTTGGGGGCATCCCAAAAAGCAAATCGACTAGGCAGCAAATTGAATCACAAGCTTTTCAATAGGTAGCAGAAGTATCACTAAATTCAGAAAGGAGCAGATTTAATTCCATTCATTTCCTTAATGCTTTCTGCAGCTTTATCTTCGCCKTTCCCCAAAATACCACTTTGGTCTTTCTCACGGATGTTAATGCAGTRAGTCAGGATCAGCTGTGAATCCAAGCTGTGAGAGCACCATTACTGTGGGCTCACCACCTCCTGAGTCTGCTTCATGAGGATACTCACGGGCTTCAGACTTTGGTTTGATGTGGATATTATCTGCAAAATTCAGGCATTGCTGGATCTATAGAAAGTGAAATTGTTTCTGTACGGTACAATCAGTACTTGGAGTAAGGTAAGGAGATAGTCTTTCTAATGGAAAAGAAAAAAAAACTTTAGGAGACTATCATTTTAAAACATACTATAAAATAATGACATTCATAAAGCAGCAGAAGTTCCAGTAACAAAATAATTCCATGAAGGCACTAAGATGTACAGCTTTCTAATTTGTTATAAAGCTTGGTGGTTTGATCTGGAAATACTTGAAGCATTGACAATGTTTTCTGGGAGGTTTGTAGGAACTACTGGAAGCAGTTGGAAATTTTTATTGTTAAATATGAGTCTCAGATTGACAGTACATGTGTCTATGTCCTGGAGTGAGCACACATTTCTGTGCCTGTTGGTGCCTGGTATTAGTCCAGTCATTCTGCTGTGAGGGAAGCTGAAACTCTTACAGACATCTCTTCCCAGTTCCTATGGTGCGCTTCAGGTGGATTTTCATGTTTGGAAATTCTCCTAAATCCACTGAGTCAACCAATAGCTGTATTTTAAATTATCTCCATTAAATTGATTCCTCTAGTTTGCCTAAAAATGCGGGKCATGGTGATGTGGCTGCATTAATCTCATAAGAAAGTCCAAACAACCATCCCACCAAAAAAATGCAGGAGTGGTTTAGATGGAGGCTTATAAAAAGCTGGTTTATTGCTTTGAACAAACACAACCACAGCCCAGTAGATTAATCATCTTTCTCTTATTGCTTGAGAAGGTTGTCAGTCTTCCTGGTTTATGCTGTCAGTAGAGTGTTTTACCCATTGTCTTTCATTAATTTTTTGCTTCCTAATCTAAAAATGAGTTTTCCAGTCAAGTGTGTCTCCTTTGTATATGCAGGTGGCTAACTTAAGCATGTATTTGAAGACTTCGAATTATGGAAACATCTTTAACGTTTTAATGTTTTTTTCACTCTGGAGTCAATGTTCTCTGAACTCGCTTGGTATATTTTTTGGTRAAAGTAAACTCTGGTAAGCACAAGGAAAGACAGAAAACCTGTAAAGTCCTGAGTGGCTGAACTGCAATGCTCTCCGCTACCTCCCATGGCATTTTCCAAGAGGCTGTATGGTTTTCATTCCAGTTGAAGCTTCTGTCAAAGCTTTAAAAACAACGTGGTTTTAAATATGTATGCATATCATATTCCCCATATGTAGCATATACATATCCCCCTGCAATATTTGTGGAACTTGGCTGGCAGCTGCAGAATTGGTGGGCACTGAACATGGGATGTTCCTTGAACCACCCTGACCTGGGCAGTTTTTGGCTTGGCTCTGCAGAATTCTGCCACCACAGAAGTCAGAGATTGGAGGAACACTGATAAAAAACCATCTGAGTCACCTCAGGATGGTAGCTTTGTACTGAAAGAACTTAATCTTACAATTGGAAGGTTTTCTTCATTTCACCTCTTCCATTTTATTCTTCTCCTCCTTCCCTCAGATATTTGAGCAGTCTGTGGGACAGAAGATGACACTGAGCTTGCAGGCACTTCGGGCTGCTGTAGCAGAGCAGTGTGAGTCTCCATGCTAGAAAAACAGAGACCTGTCCTGGTCAACCCCTGTGGAAATTAGTGTTGGCCAGGAGGAGATAAGGAGCATTTGTAGTTAGTTTTCTTGGATTTTGTAGGATGGAGAAAATCTTCTCAGCAAGTCAGTAGCTGAAACTGCTTTGTGCCTTTATTTCAAAAGATACATGTTTTTTGCTTGTCAAACTGTTGCTTTAAGTGCAGTGTGTGTTGGTACCGATGTGTTGGGGAGTTTTAGCAATAGCTGTTTAATGTTGCTTACAATACAGGTAGGTGGGGAGAGAATTCCTTAACAGCAGAACAGTTAAAAACTGTTAAAAACTGCTTCCTTAAAAGGGTGAAATTTACAAAATAAGGATTTGCATCTTAATCAAAAATATTTCAAAGTGCATTTCATTTTGGCAAATTTGATTGTTATAATACTGCTTTGTAAGATATTAAGGTAGACAAAAATACCACAATACTTTAATTTCTTTAAAGTAGAAATCTTCGGGAAGTTTTATTTGACAGAAGAAAAGTTTAAGACATGACCAGACAAGGTCACCTTGAGGTTTTGGAAATTAAAAAAAAAAAAAAAAAAATCCCTCCACATTTCAAAAGTTGTTCTCTTTGGTTTATTCTAATTACAAATTTATATTCAGCAGTGACAACAGACCAACAAACTTGCTTTTTGGTGTTGGTTTTGTTTGCTTGGATTTAAAACATTTACTAAATAATGAACTCTGGGCTGAATTAGTGGTAATCTTCAGGATTAACTTTAGAAATAAACTTCATTTTCGCTTATACTTTAAAAATATTGTTGACATTTTCCTAACTGTGTCTAACTGTAAATGTAATTAATCTTAACAATGTTTTAAACTTTTGCAGTAGTTGAAATACAACACAGGCCCAGAAACAGACTGTGCCATTTACAAGATCCTTACTTGCCAATACTGGCAGTAGAGTGAATTTTACTGGATTTGACCAATCCTAGTGTTCCTGTTATGCACTGACGGAAACACTGGAGTGAGCTGRAGAAGTTTCCAAGATAGTCTGTGGTCCACAGCGAGGTAAAAGGTAAAATTGCTGTGGCTTCTGGGTTTTAAGGTGCCATTCACATAATATGAGAGTTGCTATACGCAGTCCTTCCTAAAATCTTTTCCTTGCCACTGGTGGGAGTATGTGCCATAGGAGTATATTTAGGGGAAAGGACAAATTTGTGTTCTAAGTGAAGAAGATCCYACAAAATATGTGCAGTTCTCACCTTGGAAGGATTTGGGAATGTGTGTGCTGATGCATTTGGAATTCAAAYGCTTAGTTTTTCACTTGAAAGAAAATCCCATTGCTGCTCACAAGCAACTAATCAAAAGCCAAACAYTCCCAGAAAAGAAGCATGAAGACAAACCTAGGGAATGCTATGTTTAAACACATGYAGTAGCATTGAATACATCACAGATGAAGCAATAGTGAATGCATCCTTTGCATCTATGGAGAGAGATTAATAAAACATAAATATCACGATTCAAGTTTTAGATATTAGGAATCCACCCATAGTTGTCCCAGGTGGGCTTCGTTTCACTACAGAGCCGTGCAGCAATTCAAAGCACACTGTCTCCCCCTTCTCCATTTCTGCTATAGCRAAAGTTGTCATGGTGTTTCCATGGGGTGTTTTCCTCTGACTGCTCGAGAGAGTTCTTTTGTACCCACGGCTGAAGGAGAGTTGTCCCAGTGCTGGTCCTGAGCTGAACTCCACCGAGATGACAAACAGGTAGACACCTTTGTGTGGTGCTTTAAAGTGGCCGTGTTCAGAGAAATAGCTGTTTCCATAATTGAGGTATGTTTCATTAAACCTCACAGTTTTTCCTTTATCCTTTCTTTCTGAGAATCCCACGTGGAATGCCACCAATGAGTCTGAAAAAGAAAGAGGAACAGGATTTTAGCAGTGAGCGAGCGCTCTTCTCTCCCCAGGATCATCAGGATGGAAGATAAGGTGCATCCCTATCAGGCCTGATTTTTGTATGCTTCTTTGCAGAGCTAGAATGTGCACTGGAGTAAATCAAATGATTCCCTGGAGCTCCTGGAAAAGTGTAACACTGAGATCACCCAGGGGAAAAAAATACAGCTTTTGCTGTCCTAAAAAGAAATTAGTTAAGAATATATTCTTGGCTTAGACAGTTTGAACTACAGTTTTGCAGCACAGATGCCCAAAGGGGCTGATTTTTGTTCTGTGTTATTTGTCCATGACAAGGGCTGCAATCATAAAAGCCAATGCTAAAGCTGTGGTGGTTGTAATTACCAGGTGCTTATGGTCACATGTTTACAGGGAAAGGGAGCTGGCCAGTACCAGTGAAGTGTAAGCTGAAAACTTGTCTCTGAAACTGTTTTGAGAGAGTGTGTGCTCTCTGGTCAGTCCTGCCAATTCCATTTGTGCAAATTATAGCGGTTCATTTAATCCATCTCTCTGCCTTGAGAGGGATTTGGTGCTTTGAGTATGCCCCTTCCAGATTCAAGTAAAGTAACAGGGAAAAAGAAGCATTCCACTTCAGCTTCCAACGAGAAAACTGCTTTTGTATTAACATGAGCATCTACAGACAAAATTAGTCTTCTAAACACCTGAGGTTGAATTAGTTCAAGGCCAATTTCCTAGCAGCTATAATGGGTGTAATAAAATTACAGAATACAGCAGCATATCAACTTGGTTCTCACTTTTTTTGGTGTGCAGGGAGGATGTAAGTAATGTCATAATTTCTCCTTCCAGCACACCACAAAGTGTCTGACCAATCTCATAACTAATATGGTCTGTGTGTGGAACTTGCAGCAGGGCCTAGAAAGAAGCTAGACTTGAACATGAGCAAGTGAAAGAAAAAAATCACACCTTTTTCCACAAGTTCTGTCTGAGCTGTATTTCTTCCACTAATCGTTTGTGTATTTTCTCTGTGCTTCTCAGGCCTTTTCTTGTCTCTTTGCTTGTCCTGACCTTTGTGTTGCCTTCTCCCTTTTCTGTTCAGCATTGACTGAATCTTTGTAACATCCAGACTCGTATTTGAGGCAACTAATTCTTCATTACTCCCAAACAGCTTTTTAAAAGTTAGGAGATGTCCCTCCAGATTCCGCTTGATGGTTGCTAAATCTGCAGAGAGAGTTTCTACAGAAATGTTGAGCGGCTCAATTGCATTTGTTATTGTTTGATTGCAGCAGAGATTCACGTCACTTCTGGATTCATGCCTCTGGATTGCCAGGCTCAGGTGTTTGATATCATTCTTCAGAGTCATGATATCATTATAAGCTGAGCTATCCAAGGAGTCATCTTTGGCAGCCTCATAGTTAGGTTCCATGTGTTCTATGATGCTGCGTTGACTGCTGACCTCATGTAGAGTAGAGGATGTTTGTGTTTCCTCCTTGGGGTGCTTAGGAGCGTCGTGCTTGTTCTGTTGGCCTCTCTCCAAGGGATGAAATCTCCTTGTAAGGGATGATAAAGTCATGTTTTGTTCTTGCAGTTGATCTGAGATGTGTTTGAGAGATTCTTGCAGCTCAAATACTGATGGTACTAGGCTACTAAAATCATCTTCATAAAAGAGATCCAGAAGTTTGTGTCTCAGTAAAGCCTCCAGTGCTTCTTCGTGTCGCATTGCATCTTTCAAAAGAGAGCTGAAAGAACTGTTGAGATACTTGATGTGTCGATGAATGTCTTCATCCTTCTTCTTCAACAAGCCTATGTCTTCTGAAAAAGCTGTAACCTGGGACTGAAGCTGTCTGTTCTCTGCTTGACGGAGGCTAAGAGACAGATGGATGGAWGGAATAGCTGAGGAGAGCTCTTCAATTTCACTCTTGAAGAGATCTCTGAGAACTGACTCTAAGTGCTTCATATCCTTGGACTGGGTGTTTTCAAGGGAATAAGTGCTATTCCTTGTGTCTTCCTCCAGTCCATCAGTGTCAGAAGATACTCTTTGGCAATTACATTCCTCCATGTACCTCAGCAGATCTGAGTAGTTTTCACGAAGGTTTGAGAGAGTGTAGTTGACCTCTGCTATCTGCCTTTCCATTGCTGCGTTGTTTTCTTCCATGATAATTGATTTCTCAGCTAAAGTTATTGTAAGATCTTCTGGCCTGAATTTTGAGATGTTTTGCTTTAATTCCTTAAACCACCTCTCTAAAACTACAATATTCTGGAAGGCCACATCTGAYTCCATGTAAAGTTCTTTAAGCTGCTTTGCATGGCCTGACAGAATTTCATTTATTTGTAGGATGGTTAATTGGCTGTTTTCATCTTTGGGACCACGATGTGAAGAGAGTTGTGTTAAATTTCTTTTCAAAGCCTCCAACTTATTTTCAAGAAGGTTTTGTTCATGTTTCATGTTTGCTACGCTGTTGTTCAAAGTTGAGAAATGGGATTGCTGTATCTTTTGAAGCTTCTTGAGTTTTGTGTCGGTATCTGCCTTGATCATGCTGAGATTATAGTGAATATTAGCCTGCTGCATGTGCACWTGGTTCTCTATATCTCTTTTCACCTGATCAACTTTYGCTGTGTTTTCTTGGAYTTTTGATTCAAATTTAGTACCCAGCTCCTGGAATTCCTTCTTGGGCACAGTGCTCTCTTGGAATCTTTCTATGCTTTTTTTGTTGGCTTCCACATCATGTGACAGGTTTCTTACAATGTTGGAGAGGTTCTGTAAGCTTCTGTTGAAGCTTGCCCACACTGGGTTAAAATGTTTCCTTAGAAAATTCTCCACATGAGGGAACAAAACTTGCTGCAGAAGCCTTTCCTGAGGATCTGTTAAGACAGTTGAAAAAAAAGATAATTAAATTTAAATTCTGCTTTTGGAACACAGTCTAGCCAGGATAACTCAAGTATGCATTTTCCTAGTTGCCATCTTACTCCCCGGAATCTGACCTTGTGATAAATTTTGATAATTGCAATAGCCTAGTTTTAAATCAAKGTTACTATAAAGCAYAYGGTGTCTATGAGTTTGCWGACMATAAGGTAGGTATGTATGGACTTCKCCATTTATGTCTTTAAAATGGTGCTTTATGAARCCCCTGGACAGGCAGTTTTGCCAGTGGCCATAACTGTCCATTTTCCCAACAAATCTTAGTTGATGGGCTCTTCCTTTTTTTGGCTTATGTTCTTTTTTCTCATGTTTTCAACTCCACAAAGTTATACAGCATCTTAACGGTTGAATATTCCAGGTCAGGAGGAAATAACTTGAAAAATCTGTGAAGTATCTGTACTATATGGGAATTATACTAAGGCTCAGTTTCTAACTTTAAAGTTCAAGTTTGAGTGCCTTGAAGTTTACTGAGTACCATAGTCTGTATCCTTAGAAGATGTTTCTGCARGCCAGTGATTCACAATGGTAGGTCAAATTCCACAGCTTTTTTTCCCCCTCTCCTGTACRTGGCAGAAATAATGCTCTAGAGATGGGTCAAACATTTCCTTTTTTCACTAACACCAGGCTGCTATTCCACACCTCAGAGTACATTGCAGGAGTATGGAAAAAGAACAAATCTAAATCTGCATCCCTACAGAAGAGAAGAAGCCACAGAAGAAAAATAGTAAGTTTAATAAATTTTAAATGAAAGCAACCTCTTTATTCTGTGGTTAAGGCATTTTCTGAACTCTGCCTTTCCTCTTGTTTCCCATTTCAGGTTACTTTTTATTTATTTGCATTGGGATTGTGCCCTTTTTTTCTCTCTTTAGAAGCAACCAGCAGACCAAGTAATATCAGGATATTTTTGCTTTCACATTTTCTTTTTAATCTGTGTGGTTTCACAAGGCCTATCACAGGCTGATAATTCTGCATCAGACCTCTCACCTGAATTGCTCTGGTTCACTTCTAACACCATGCTTGTACCGTTGTTCTCAAATAGTCTCTGAAAGTCACCTAAGGTGCTGGCTGCTTGATGAATATCACTTTGAAGATCATCCAGTAAAGCCTCATGATTCTGAATGACTTCGAACATTTCTCTTGAATCCACTGATGTTGACACTAGTCACAAGATTAGAAAAACAAAGTCATGCAACAGAGTGCAGCGACCAAGTGACAGGTATTCATGCAAGACCTCTGAGAACACCTGTCTGGTTTTTTACTCTGAAAATTTTGCACTGACATTTAGGGGTCTGTTGATTTATAGCACCTTAAATTGCAATTTATTTGCAAGGAGTCTTTTYGACAGTGATGGAAACCTAATCTATTTAAATATTTGCAGAAAACTTTGTCTACAATAGCTGTGATGGCAATACAATGCTCTTAATTAGAATTCTTCCCATGCCATAAAAATATTTTGGAATACTAAGTCTTTTCAAGACAATGACTGAAAGGATGRCAAGGTTTAACAACCTAGAATAAAAGGAGAGGGTCAAAGAGGCARTTGAGGCATTCCACAAGGAATCAGGAGCACATTCTTTGTCAGAGCTGACTTAGGGATGGGCCCTTTAACTGATTTTTTTCTGAATAAATTCTTGTGAATTTGAGCTGTGGATTTCATAATGTGCAATTCTACCCTGGATTCATTGGATTTCATAATGTGCAATTCTACCCTGGAGCTAATTGCACAAAGACACCTAAAAGCACTGCAAGCCACCATTTCCCAGGAGGTAAGGGGAAGTCCTTCGTGGTACTTAGCTGGAAGGGTGGAGTGCCTGAGATAGAAAACTGTGGTTCCTCMTAACAGTAATCTCAAAGCCACTGGGGGCCTGTTCTAAAATAGCATTTTCAGTGAATTGTTTTTCTGGTAGATTTGTGAGCATGGTGTGCTTTCCTGTGAATCCACATTGCAGAGCAAGACATTAATGTCCTTGACACTGAAARGTGTAAGGCTCTGCACCAGCTGGCATTCACTGACGAGCAGAGAGCTTTGAAACTTTGGGATGCTTTGTAGTGAGCATTCACTTAGTGTTACAGCAAAAGCCCTCATTTATGTCAATAAATGTATCATTTCAGAGCTTTCCTAAAGAATGCTTTCACTAGAGAGATTCTCCATAGCTTAGCAGGTTAAAATTGCAGCTCAAAATACTTTCTTTTTTTCTGATCATTGAATGAGAGGTAAAAGGATGACAAGCAAAGTAACTCCAAGCACATACTGTGGTTTGAGAACTCTTCTTCTTGTCCTTCAGTTTCAGGTCCTGGCACCAGAATAAAATTAGGATCTGCAATTGAGATATAAAAGAGCTGTGAGAATGTTTTAGATGCATAAACTACTACAATTTAGCAAGGCCCCACAGAGGAGTTTCATATATCGTGTAACTGGTGTGCTGACAGGCTTCTTGGGTAAAGAAACACCTCTGGAGAATTTACCTTCCTTACAGTGGTAATTAAATATTGCATACATGGCAGTGCTATGCAGTAGCATGGGGATTTTTAACTCATACCAAGTTATTGCTAATAAGAAATTAGTCTGTTGTGAATAGATGAGGACTTTTTTTTTTCTTTTCCTGGAGGCTCCTTCTAAAGCTTTGCAAATTCCTCTTGCTTGTTCTACAGTTACCTGAACATTCTTGTGGCCAAAAGTGAATGATGCTGTACAAATGAGGTGATAATGATGGAGGAGCTGATTTTGGTCAATGACTGTAATAAAAGAGAGACTAAACTGGTTGCACTRCATTTGGTAATATCTTTCCAACATTGAGGAGTTCACCACCTAGAGATCAAGCTACAAATAAAAGCTATCTGTGAAGAAAAGCTAAACCTACAGAGATTTTTATCTGTGGAGTCTGTACATGAGTTAGACCTAGATTGTGCAAAAATTTTCACACGTTTGCCTTGTTTGTTATGGTTGCCTTAATTGCTAGAGGGAATTACCTTTTATCCATTTAAATTCCCTTAATTCCATTTAAATTCTTAAATCCATTTAAATTCTGCTTTTCAAGTATTTTCTGCTAAATCCTACCAAGGCCATTTTTAAATCACCATTCAGTTTTTAAACCAAGGCATCAATTCTGAAAAGAGGGAAAAAATATTAGGCAGACTTAATTTTTGCCTTTGTGCCTGGCATTTAGTCATTCATTCCTCTAGTTGTTCTCCAGCTTTGCTTACCACGCTGTTCACAGTCCTTGCCAATAAATCCAGGGCAGCATTTCCACTGCAAAGACTTCAGAAGCTTCTGTTTCACTTGGTAGACTGGCTTCAGAGCTGTCCTGTACCTAGGGAGGAAGGGTCTGGGTGTTAGATTTATTGTTACAGAGTCCTTMGCAATCAAGTTTGGTAAGATCTTGAACTTCTGTAGTATTCTGATGAGTTGTAGAGSGAGTTTTATTATTAAACAAATATTMAAAAATGTCACTGATACCAAGGAAGATACAAATTTATTTAGAACTCCCCTAGAAATAATGATGAGTCTTCAATACTGTTGAAAACATCATATAGATACTTCAGAGAAAATTCTGTTTTCTTCACTGGCTTTATTTAGAGCACTTACATGATCTTCTGGCATTCTGGGGCTCCATTTGGACAGGGCTGTTGGGAGTTGACAATGTACTTCTCCTTCATGCAGGCTTCTATGTATGTGACCAGCCGGGACTGCRTGAAGGAACACCAGTTCCTAGGGGAAGAAAGACGTGGGAAAAGAGCTTGAAGTAGGTATTTTTAAGTCTCTGGTTGTAACAGTGCCAAGAAAAAGTGAAATGCAGAAGGGCCTTTATTTTTTTTTTTTCCCAGCTGCATGATGAGGGAAGTGGAAAATGCTTCTTACCTTCTCCCTCCACTCCCAATTCATTTGTTTTCATTTGAGATGTTTATCTGAGTTTGTTACGAAAGGGGTGATTGTCTGAACTTTGATGCATTAGTACCATTTCCAGTCCTTTCATTTAGCAGGAGAAATTTCCAACCCATGATAACCTGCAGGTTAATGTCACTTTAAATGTCAAATTGCCTTTCTAGGCATATTGCCATTTCAGATGCCTGATGACTGACTCATCAGGTTGAGGCAGACTGCTTCTGAACACTTAATCTGACATAAACTCCATTAATAATAACTTCCTATGTATTACTTATTCAAGATAATATAGTAAGTGATTGAATTTTATTAAATAGGCTAGTTTCAAAATAATTTCTCCCATCACCTGCAGGATAATAATATTGGGGGGGAAAAAAGGTTGTTTTCTTGGATTTTAGTTCTATGCTTCTAGCAAGGACAAGTGAGTTTTAATAGTCTGATTAATGTTCCAAGTCAGAATCACATCAACAGCTATTAATCCCACAGTGTAGGTGAACCTCTTCCTTTTCAAGAGTTTAAAGTCAAGACTTGGCAGTGTATTGTTGGCTGAAGTTTGATGGTTAAAATCCAGACAAGGCAGGAAGTGACGAGKAATAACTCTAATGGAAACAGCTGAACTTTAGGCAGTGTATTTTTAAATGGGAATACAGGAACCAAATCTCTGACTCTCAGCATATATGGAAAAARTTTGCCCCTCTGAGGGAGTTGTGGAAACAATGGGGAACTGAGTCGTGCACGAAAGCAGAAGCTGGCACTGCAGCAGSCAGGAGAAGGGGAGGAAGCTGGAAACACCAGGATGAAAGGGCAGCAGATGGCCTGGCCTGGCTGGGAACAGCTCAACAGAATTACTGGGCCATGGCCTGTTCTGCTCCCCTGTTTCTTAAGGAAAATGAGATTGAGATTTCAGCGAGCACTCATGCAAGCAAAACACTTCATCTCTTAGAAGCAAGGGCAGGAATCTGGGAAAGCAGGACAGGAAAGGAGGGTGCTGCCTTTGTTGTGATTTCCAGCCAAAACAACTTGTTAAAGAGTTGTAGCACTGGGGCCTTTGCAAGTGACTGGGGGAAATTTTGGGCCTATGATCAATGGGAGTCTTGGTTCTTGTGGGACTGATCCAAAAGACAAATCCTCAGGTATTTATTGAAATATTACTGTTCCAGAGTCAAACACTCTGCTTGTRTCAGTAAAAGCCCTCAGTAAAAGCCAGCACGGCAGCATATGTGCTCTGGTGGCATTTGCCTCCCAGGTGTGCCTCAGTCTGCCAGGCCTTGTAAGGCCRGGTCACTTTTTGGTGATTGGTGTCAGCTAAATAATCTAAAACAGGGACCTGCAGCGGGCTTGGTTTTGGTCTGTCCTCTCTCATGTGCTTGGCAAGTTGGTGTAGCTGGGAGAGGATTTTCCCCCTCAAGCCCTCCCTTTWTTTTCCTGGGGAATAAAGTGCCTGTGCCCTGTTGGTGGAGCTCGCTGGTGTTGTTCCTTGGTGCAGAATCCCTCACTCTGTCACAGGATGCCTGCCAGATCCAGCCAGGAGTCTGCACTCAGTGTGGAAACCTCCTTTTCAAACAGGATTCTTTGGCTTTAGGGTTTTGTTCTTTCCTAATGAAAACAATCCACACCCAGTGAATCATCATCTGGGCTGATTTTTTTTTCCCACTATATGCAAGTTTTTCCCAAGAAGTCCTTGGAGTCGTGTCAGCCACATAGAGTGAAGCCAAATGTGCACATGCATCAACCTGTGTGGGCAAGAATGAGGCACCATGGGGCTGAGAATGCTTTTGCTGTGTTGCACACGTGGATGTGCACACACATGGAACAGAAAACAATTCMTTTTCAAAACACCTGGTGGTCTTCCCACCTCTAGAAAGGGGTTGTGTTGTATCAGCAATTCGATCAKTGGTTGATTCCAACTTGATGCCTGCCTTGGACAGTTACTAATATTATGCAGAATGAATAAGATGGAAAAAAAAATAAAGGGATAACACCATAGGCTCTCAATGAAAACTTTCTTTAATGCTGATCACAGCTTTTTATGTTCAATTTTCTTTACTATATATTTGCTAGTTCTCTCTCACTTGATATTAAAAGTTTATTTGTGGAGCTGAAGGGCTGCGTAATACCATGTTTTGGTTTTAAAAACAAAAACTTTCAGGGGTTTTGTGTTCCATAAAGCTTACCAAAGTTTATTCTTTCCTCAGATAAGTAGCTAAGGCCTGTAATGAGCTGCAAAATAGATGCATGTGCCCAAAGACAAAACTTCTATTGCAGTATTTTTAATACAACCTGTCAAATGCTTTCTTTAGGGAAACTTTGCTATCTGTAACTAAAAATACTCCTTAGCGGGATTAACCTTGAGGGAAAATACGTCATTCTTTAATGTTAAGTGTAACAATGTAAAAGACTGAGAAAGGCTTGATCTAAAGTTCAATGTGGCAAGCAGGACTTCTCTGGCACCAAAGGCTCTGAATCAGGCTATGAAGTTTCAAAGGGCTTCTCCTTCACAAATAGCACTTTCTTTCCTGAGCTGGTTTCTGGAACACAGCAGCTTTGTGTTCTGTTGCTGCATTTTTTCTCYTCTTTGTAACTGTGTTGCTTCATTCACTGAATATGGAACCAACTTAACACCCTCTGCTTTTATTCTCTTTATTTYAGTTTCCTTTTGGTGCAAGCTCCTGCTGCCAAGGAGAGAAAGAGGAACAGAGAGAAGCTGCTCATGTGAGGAGAGCAGAAAAGCCTTTTSTGTAATCTGGTGAGCAGTAAGGTTTATCATAATGCTGCAAGTTGGAGCAACACTTGAGGGAACCTGAGCAAATTCAGGGCTACGGATGTTTCATTTGTTCAGTGGTTTTTCCTGGTTTACATTCCAAGGAAATCAATCCCTTTTTTAAAAAAAAAATACTTTTAATATTAGTATTTTTCTTTATTTAAATTAATTCTAATTATGAATTTATCTTATTAAATAGAGTATTCACATTCATGTATCCACTTCTGCCTTATTTTGAGGCAAGTGTATTCTTATGTCTGAGGTTAAATATATTTGATGACAAAGCATTCTGTATTTAAATAAGATTCAGCAAATGTGGGTTAGCTCAAGCTGTTTTTACTTGAAGCTTTCAGGTGTTTAGAACCTGGTATTAAAATTTTATTTTTCTTAAATTGGATAATACTTGTGGTTTTAGTGAAACATAGCAAAATGCAGGCAGTTCTCTCTCTGATTCTAGGATTTGGCTGGGCCATCTTATATCACAGCAAATAAAGTGAAACCTACAGAAGCAGGAGAAAAGATTGGATGGCTGCTCTGCAGTACCTGACTCTCTGCTCAGATGAATATGGGGTAATCTTCACACAGACAGTGTGTGAGTGAGTGTGAGTAATGCTCCCCAGCTCAGCAAGGGACTGACATACTTTAGTTCTCTTTGCTACATGTTCTCTTGATTGGCACTGCAGTGCATCATTTTAGATGTTTCCTAGGTCAGTGGAATTTTTGCCTGAACAAAAGCTTCAGGAATTCAGGATGTAGGGGTTTTTTTTCATAATTTTGTCATTCCTTTGGCTCTACTAGTACAACTGAGTTGTCCTTCACACATCAGTTTCCGTAGATTTCTATTGCCAAGGCAGCAAGTGTCTATAATTACTTGGAAAACTCCTGTCCAGCCATTCCTGTGTCTACCACTGACAGTGTGCAAAACTTTTCAAGACCACAGCATTTTCCTACACAGCACAAAAGGCACCAGATAAGCAGTAATTCCTGTTTAAATGTGCTTTGGGAAGCTAGTAGAAGACTTAGTTAAACAAGAGATTTTCCATTGACTTCTACAGAGTGRCTCCTGATTTATACCAGTTATTTTTATTATTTATATTTATACCAGATGAATATGAGAATGAGGCTTTAGCTGTGGTTGGTTTTTCCCTTGGTGCAAATTTCTCACTGGCAAGAAAAAGCAGCCTCACACAAACAGGTTAAGTACCACATTTAAATTAATCTAAACTAAGACTGTGCATGTCAGTATTGAGACAGACATATCCTTTTATTTTTTATGGAATACAGGAAGTGTTCAGCTGTTGGGGAAGGTTCTGGCTCTCCAAAGCAGCACAGTGTRCCACTGGGTTTTTAATTAGCAGGCAGCAAGTGATGTTTGGTGGTCTGTCAGTGGATTCTCCCGCTCTTCCCAGGCAGCCAGCAGCCCTATATTAGAATCAGACAGCAGAAACACTCATTTTTCTCCATCTTCCCCTCAGAATGAGTAAAACACCCTTTCAAGCAAGGTCTGGGATCTTCCCATGTCTCATCCCATGATACCCTTGTTTTCACTGGAGTGAGAGCAAACTGATTGATTTGCAGTTCCCCTTAACAAACTGGACTGAAAAGAGTGACAGTGRTAGTTTYAAACATAYRGATTTACACAGTGCTGGAAATCTTCCAAAACCCTGAGTAACGTAGGTTGACTGCATTGTGTATTCCAACAGGAGTGCCAGTTAGACTGTTATCAGTTGGGACAGTCTGTCCTGMAAAACATCCTATAAAACCTTTGTGCAGTGAAGACTTTCAGAGCAAATCCAGTCCTAGGCTTAGAACCTCACTGGGAGCAAGAGTTCAAGGAGCAGCAGGCTGGTCTGGGAGCTGGTTTTGAGCCAAATCCAGCTGTTGTACAAACTGCTTCAGAGAAGTAAGTGCAAGAGGCTTTTCCTCTTCAAGAGCATCCACAGCCATTAGCTCATTCCTATTATCCCACTGCAATGGAAGCTCTCCAGCCTGTTCAGAGGGATTTCATCCTTTGGTTCTTGCAGACTGAAGTTCATCCCTAGTACATCCCCTCCTTTGCCAGACCTCATCTGGAAGCAGGCATTGCAGCCAATGGCCACCCTCTAGCATACCTGTGCTGATGCCAGAGAGTCAAAAGTGGGAAGCCAGGCTTGCCACTGGCACATGCTCAGGGTGCACACAGCATGTGCCAAGGTTTGCCCTGTTTGGGGCATGAGATTTGGTCAGGGCTGGCCACTCATCACTCGTTCAAGGGATGCTGACCCACACGGGAAGGGTGGGTGATGGTGCTGATGGTGCTGATGGTGCTGATGGTGATTCTGTGGCTATGCTAAAACAAGAGATCCCTTGCTATGTGGTGAAATTAATTGCTGCAGCTTGCAGTAATGAGCTGTGAAACAAATCAGTCCCCTGGGCACAGAGGGTTTGATAACTCCTGCACTGTATGGAATGGAGCYGTGTCCTCTGCATCAAGCAGGGAGAGCTGAGGGGGAGCTATTCCACCTGCAGCAGCCATGGCAGCCAAATAYTGGAGAATTTCCTGAACTCCTGAAAGGAGCCAAGTGCCCGACTTTGATAGGAAACCATTGCTTCTGTTGATGCACTTGGCACTGCAAAAGCTATTGTTGAGCACTCARTGGCTGTTCCACTGCTTTGCAGGATGTCGGGGGCTGAAGATCACTTTTAGCTGCACTCCATCCAAACTGTTTTATTTTAAGCATATGTTCTGTGCCCCTTTGGTGGGAAATTTCAGTATCCCATAAGCTTCCTACAAAAGCCCCTGCTTTGTTTTGAAGAAATAGATGAGTCAGTGTGAAACTGATCTTAATTAAATTAATGGATTCTTCCTGTAAAAGCGGACAAAAAGTAATAAGCAATTAAGATTGAGCATTGTTATGACTTTCCTTAGAGTAAGACTGATTTGGGTTTTCTCTGCTTGTGTACACTTGGGAGGATAGTTACATATTTTACACACTGGGTAGTCACGAGAACAGGCCTGATTGTGTCTTGATGTGGAATTAGAGGAAAGGGTGAGTGTTCCAGTGAGATAACAACACMCCTGGCTGACTTGACAGAATTGTGTGTCCAAAACTCAAAGTATGTTAATGCAATTAAGAATTTACTTAAGCTGAAGATTTCTGCCTTTCCTATTTATAGATCAGGTGGTGAAATTTGGGGACTTTCATTTGGTTTTTCCATTTTTTCAAAATAAATCCCAGGAGATGTGTGTTTGTGGATTAAAGAGAAAGAAAGAAAAATGAACCAYCTACCCAGCTGCAGAGCAAATCCAAAACAGGACTCACTTGGCAATGATTGCACTTTTGGAAATACAGAAGTTCTGTGAGATTTGGGATAGATGGGGAAGCCAGCTGTAGTTGTTCTGCTCCTTCCCATTCCACCACCACCGTCCGTTTCTGCCTCACAGGGTGAGCAATTCACCTGGGGACTGGCTCCATCAGTGTGGTGACTGAGGRGCAGGGTAAAAATAACCTCTGCTTTTTCCTGAGATTATTTTTAACCTGGAATGCTTAAGTGATCTGGTTTACAGTGTTACTGGACAGACAGGTCAGGCTAACTGAGGGTTCAGGCAGCTTTGGGCTCTGCTGTTGGAGCTGCTGTACACCTTTTACATGCTTCATTTGTCTTGGTTTTTAATGAAATATGAACACTAAGTGCATAAAATCTGAGCTGTGAGCCTGTCCCTGATGTACAGGTCTCTTAATTTCCCTTTTTAAATCTGCTTGAAGTTTGGGTATGTGTGGATTCTTTTTCCTCAGCAATAGAATGAAATAGCTGAAGTCAAACCAATCAGCTCATATGAAACTCAGCTGGGGAGAAAAGCAGTATAAAAAGTGGAATTTTTCTTTTGAAAATTGGCCTCCTTTGATAGTTTTAATCTTGTACCCCTACAAACACTTGTCCACTTGGAACACACAAGGGCTTCTCCTGTTTGTTCMGATACAAGCAACAACTGAGATATCAAACTGTTACCTAGTTCTTCCTGTAAAAGCCAGTGAGTTCGTACTGATTTATATTTTAAAACTCTTACATGCCTAATCTTGTTATTCTTGGAGGAATTAGCAAAATGACATATCTGAGCATTAGACTGGGGTCTAATGAATCATTTCATCTCACATGTTGAAACAGAAACCAGAGGATTCTGACTAATTTCATGGACTACTCAGTCATGATGGTCTCAATTATTCAAATAACTGCAATATGAAAAATAATACTATACATTTCTTTAAAATATAATAATATTTTGTAACTACCACTGTTCCTGATACATAGGGAAAATAAGAAGCAGTTGAGCCAAACACATCTTGCTTTTATTTTTTGAAAATAATGAGAGTCAAAACTTTGTCACAAATACCAGGTTGCTATTGATTTTGTTTGTTTCCTAGTTCTGCAAAAAAAAAAAAAAAATTCTTTTCAAAAGCAAACTAATGTAAAACATCATTTTGGYAGAAAACTATTCACCACCATTCTGGGGTTTTTTTTTGCTTGGCTGTCACACTTTTTTATGGCTTGTCTTTCTCTGCCTTTATTACTCAATTCCTGTTTAACTCCTGATGCTTTTCTTTTTGTTCTCCCTTTGAGAGATATAAAGTTTGTCAATTTTTTTTTTTTTTCCAGGGAATGTGTCACTCTTGTAGGGAGGAAATACCGAGTTCATGACACCTTCTTTTCTGTGGATAGCAGCCACAGCAGCTGACAGCACTCAAGAACTTCATGCTCTGAAGGTGTGTTGCTTCAACTGTTTTAGAATTTTGAGAGTGGTTACAAGAAGAATTGTGTTGTCCCTTCTTATTCACACTCTCTGCCCTTACTTTTAGATATAATTCCTCTCAAAGTCTCGAATTTCTTTCCCAAGGCCTACCAKCTGCCTGGCCCTGTGTGTGCTGTGACAACTCTACAAAAGAACAAATACCTTAAAGCTACTGCCAGGCTCGATTTGGATTGCCTGGAGTCATCCACATACCTTTATAATTGGGAGGAATGTTATGATTTGACTCACTACGTAACTATCTCCATAAAAGAAGGAAGTATTTCTCTCCTTGGGAGGAAATTAGGATGAGTCATAGCTGGATTTGAACTGAATTATCATAACATTCCAAGCTGGWGCTGGGCAGAGCTACAGAGCAAAGGAAGAAATCCTGATTAGGGCAGTATATTACAGCATCTTGTTGACCTGTGGTGCTGACCTTTTTAAACCGGTGAATTTTCATAGCACTGGGAGTTTTCAGAAAGCTTTCAGCATTTCAGCCACCAATCAAATGATTACCACCTTGCAGTGTAACTTGGAAGCCCAGAATGCCACTTAGGCCTCGCTTCCTTCCTTTGACCGTGTCTGAAATTCATTAATCAGGAGTTGGTTAATTACCAGAGCACATCATTATTGAACACTACCCATCAGGAAACTGGAAGTGAAGGCTTGCAGGCTTTAGAAAGTGACTTGGAGCTATTAGRGGGAGATGCAGGTTCGTGGGAAGATGTAGTGTGAAGGACAGCAGGGTTTTCATACACTCACCATTCACATGCAGAAAGGAAGCCCTATTTTACACGTAGATGACATTAGAAACAAGACTGCCTACTTCAGTTTGCATGAAAGGAAAGATAACATGAGCAAGGTTTTATAGTCTCTTTCCATCTCACTYTTTTCCTTTCCTCAAGAGCATTTAAAGGGAAAAATACCAGGGCATCCTAAAGCACTGAGCTGTGAACAGCACTCAGCGTGCTGCTGTTTCAGCTCTCCTGAACAGGGCTCTGCTGTACCCATCCATCAGGGCTATAAAAGATTCATTCACTGTCCTGCTTGGTTTTCATCTATTTTAAACATTTAGAGACCTACTTACATGCCCTGTAAAACTTACACAAATCATAGGGTTTGGGAATATTTCTAGTGAAGTACATACCTTTTCCACTCAGAATGGCTACTCTTCTGCTACAGATGACCAGGAAAAGCATGTTTCTGGCATGAAAACCTTTTGAATGGGATGGAGGTGTGAAATTTTGTAGTCATTTTCATGCTTATTCCTTATTCCTTAGTTTGTTATATTTAGTCCTCATGATTTTTATTTTGCTAACATCCTGCCATTCTCTTTCCCTCTCCATTTCCAAGGCCCAAGGTCTGCAGRCAGGCACATTCTGCTAATAGGCAAAGCTTGCCATGCTCAGCAGAAATAATCAGCATTGGTTTATGATAAGAAAACATCAGTAAATYAGCTTCCTCTAGTTCTGCTTTGCCAGAGATAGTTTTGGTTTGTGGCAGAACTGAGACGCTTCACCTCTGCCAGATGTGTGCAGACCCCTAACCTTGTTCTGCTGTCTCAGASCAAGCAAAGAGCTGGTCCCATTGTGGTTTCTTCCTCCACAGGCAATTCAGGCAATTTCTGTTTGTGAAGTTAAAGCATTTAAACCACTCTAGTTTGGATATAGATTGGCCCCTGAAATCTAATGTATTTTAATGAGAAACTTCTACTGAAAGCAGTCCTGTATCAATAGAACATAAAAGGATCAGAGAGGATTGCCCTCTCATTATGTTGGGGTACTCACCCATTCCGGGACTGTGGGCTCACAGCTTCAAAATCCCCTCTCTCTTCCTGATGTGAGGAGATCACACTGGAAGGGTAATCTGGAGTATCCTCCCTGAGGCCTTCTGCCTCCCAGTAACCTTCTTCTTGGCGTGCCAGAGGAGTTCTCTGGGGGTGTGCAGAGGTCTCATGAACCCGTGGCWTTAGGCTGTGCCCAGAAACATCAGCGTGTCCATGATGGGCTGTGTGTTCCACCAGCTTTGCCAGTCCTCCTGTGCTACAGACCAGCAAAAGCAGCTTCACCAGCATCCTGGGCTCCTTCCCACCCAGTTACACCTGTCTCTTGTTCTTTTCTCTAAAGCTCAGCCTGAATYACTTCAGAAATTCCCCGGCAATAGTCTTTAACTGGAAAGTTGGAAGAAGGAAGGAAAAAATAAAAAAAATATTTGTAACAAAGAGCGGAAAGAGCTTTCGGCCCTCCCAGCTACTGTGGAAACGTCCGTGGCTATTGAACAATGTGAGCCTGGTTCCTGTGTGAGGCTCAGACGTTTCTGACAGGGGGGGAAAAAAGGTGGTAGGAATACAGCTTATTCAAGGAACTTGTGAGCTGCACTGCCTTCTAAACTTATCTGTGAACAGGAACTCGGCTTTTATCAACTRCCCTCTCCCTCAGGCACAGGAAAAGGATGTTAGCTTAAAGGAAAGGAAGAGAAAAGAAAGGAAAGAAAATACTGAGTGCTGTAACAGACTCTCATTACCGTGCCAGAAAATGTCACAGACCTGCTTGGTCCGGTGCTGCACATGGAGGTTTTTCTGCAGTTTAAAGGCTGAAATACCTTGGCWTTAGCATCAGAATATTTGTGGTATGTACAACAATTGCGGGCATTGAGGGACTCAGAGCAGATGCACAGTAGAAAGGAGCCTACAAACATCTATTCTTATGTGGTGTTTGCAAAGTTAACTCTGTGAATCATTGTCTGTTCCATCAAAAGAGAAGATTTTCATGACATTGTCCTTCAGTGAGGTCAGGATAATTGAGCACTTTTAATAATTTCTTTTTGGATTGTCATCTCTGGATCTTAGGCCTAATTTTTTTTTCATTTTTAATTACTGTTAAAAATACCCCACTAGCTAAAAGCTGCTGTCAAGRGCTACCTCTGTCACCACATCCTAATAATAATTTTTTTTTAAAGGCTGTGGAGGCTGGATGTAGCTTTCTTACTAGTTTTGATTTACTTGATGCTGCTTTTAGTTTTGTTGCTTTCATAAACTGTGTTTCTTTTTTCACCCCCTTGTAGTGAAATGTGCTCTGGCATTTTAAAGAATAAAATGGAGGAGAATGATGTTCCRCTGATAACACRAGTGGGAATGCAGGACTGCTAGATYGTCTCATGSTTTGAATGATGARATGAGCAGCCCAAAGTTCAGTGTGTCCTGCAGAGCATTAAATGTAAAGCTTTTAATGGATTCATTCCAATTCTGGCTGAAAATAGAGGATAAAATCTCTCCAGGATTTTTGAAGGCCTTGTTATTAAAGGTTATGAATTTGCATCTCCTTATCACTGGCTGGATTTTCACCCCTCTCCTGATTGCCCCAATTTTATGCTTAATGGAAGAACCCAGAGACACATGGAAGTTCCCTTCCTGCCCTGTGGAAGACACAGCTGCCTAAGAGCAGTGGCAGCAGCAAATGGGGATAGGCAGGGAGAGATTTTGTTAATTCTGAGGGAAAACCTGCTCTTGCTGTAGCCATCACTTCTCCAGGGAGAWGAAATCACAAGGTCTGGACTGAAGACTGAAAAAAATTAGCTACTTGCCTCTGTTCCTTCCTGCTGCTTTTATTTCAGAATGGTGTGCATCCTGCTGTAACACATGTCAATGTGTGAATATTTCATGTGCCGTGTTTCACATAGAAATGTGCCTTTCTCACAAGTAACTGGATGTGACCTAAGCATTATATTTATTTACATGTTAAGACCATTATCAGGAAGGAACTGAAGCAAACATAAGGCAAAACAAGTATCAGGCTTATAACCTGACCTGCAGTGAGATCCTGGCTTGCAGAGAATGACTTTGGRCTGCAGATACTGAAGTCATTCTTCATGGGTGTGATCCCTCCCAAATGGTGGGGCAGTGTTTCTCTGCCATCCTCCTGGCTCAGAACATCTGCTGCTCCTCCAGGTGCAAGAACCTGTTCTCTGTGCTGTTGGGATGGTGCTGCCCTATGGATAGAGCAGGCACAAGTTTGTAGGTTAATAATTTAACATGACTATTTTTTTGGTAGCCGTTACGAAAGATGCTAAATATGGAGCAAGCCGGGAATGACRTCCCTTTCCTTGTGGTAGGCATAGCATAGGATGCTGCCATGAGCTCAKGAAAGGCATTAATTATTCTAGGGGACTTCCTTACTGAACACTAGTTGAAGTTTTTGTCTAACAGCTCTTATGATTTGGGATATCTGAATAACGTGTTGTGGTTTTACCATTGGTTCAAAACATGTGGGGAGAGTGGGCTGTAAGTTTTCTTTTACATCTGTAGAGGAGCAGGTCTGAGGAGTGTACCTACTCACGAATTACATACACCATCCTTGCACCAACCAACACCAGCACACATCTTGTCTCTCTTCAGTTGCCTGGTCTAGTGTTGGTGTACCTTGCAGAGCAACCCTTTCAGTAAGTGATGTGATAATAGTAGTGGGGTGGAGACGTTTGAACCTGCCCTGGCAGTTCTTAGAACAGCCAAAGGACATTGTCCCTTCACTCTTGGTCCCCAGTCACTAGTGACTTCTGTTTTCCCCCAAGCCCTTATTCATGAAAATACTCTTCCTCCAAGTATTTCTGGGGAGTGCTTCCTCGAAGTGTTCAAACTATTCTTCAAACTGCAAGCCAGTCTTCAAGGAGTTGGTATTGCCAGTTACACCAGATCCATCGCTTATGCCCTGGGATCTTGCCAGTGAGTGTCAGGTCTGCTCCTGCCTGGTCTGGTAATTCTAACCACTTCCATTAAACACAGCTCTGAATCCCCTCTGATGCTGCCTCCCCCAATAATTCACTGTCCTGTTTGCAATTCCATCATCAAATGCCAGCACCATTTCCTGGATAATCTGCTTAAGGTGCAAAATCTCATCTTGGCCCCTTTCCTTTGGTTTARGGTCAGAGCCCTGCAGCTACAGCTGGACAGGAGGTGGGCAAACACAAAGTAAACAGTGCCAAACAATGCATTTGATTTATGGCTTGTCCGATAAATGGCTTGGATGTACTTGGGAAGCAAATACTCTGGCTGTTCCAGTCAGCATGTCTCTGGAGGAAGAGCCCTTAGAAATTCAGTTTTCACTTAATAGATTCTGATGATTTTTCTTGTTTCGTTTGTRTCTTCCCAGATTCACTGCCTGCTCTGTAATGCTCTTAATTATAGATTTAAATTCTGAATCTGTGTATTTAAAAGGAAAAAAAAAAGAAAAAAAAATGTTTAAAAAGCCAAGAAAAGATGAAAAGCAAGTGTTGCTTTAGATTCATATATCCCAGCTCCAAATCTCTGAAGCAGACTGAATAACTGAAAGGATTTTATGTCTGAGAAGGCAGTTTTGTTGATAGCTGCACAGCAAGGGATAACTTCTCATTAGGCAGTGGGATTTAGATGTGGAAAATGCTGTCTCATTCCTTGCCCGCTGCCGATGCGCGCTCATGCGTGTGCAGCTGCTCTGGGGGAAGAGAGCACAAGGAGAAGAGTGTCAGGGGGGCTGCAGGGCTAGGGAGCAATTCCTTTCACTGCCCTTTCCCTCTGAGGAAGAAGATGAATTCTTATTGCATTTATTTTTAATGGTTTGCTCAAGAGCTATCAGCGGTGTTCGACAGCAGACATCAGTCACAGAAGATCGCTGTACTGGCAGCACTCTGTGCACTGCATGTGGCTCATCCCTGTGTGTGTTCCTGAAAAATGGCTCGTCCCTGGGTTATTCATTCCCTGGCTAAGGAAATTAGCTCATTACCTGTGCAAACGTACATGCAGGGGGTCAAGTCCTAAACTGTTTACCAAGAGGATGTCAGACAACTGCTTGTTTTCATTAGGGCATGGAAATTACATATCTGTGGCAGTTCTCCTTTCTGCATTTTGAAGTTATCATAAGTGAAGAGAGAGAGGAAGGATTTCTGTTTATATATAGCAAGGTTTGGTCCTGTTTATGTTAATATTATTCTTCATGCAAAAACTTCCTGAACAAAGGATATTTACCAGCCACAAAAGCAGTCTGTCTTTCCTTTCCTCACCTGTCTTTCAAACTAGATCATATACCATTTAAATACTTCAGTAGAATATGACCAAATCACACTTCTTTCATCAAGCAAAAGGACTTTGTCAGCTGTTAGTCTCCTGCAGAAGTTCATTGTTAAAGGACAAGGTTAAGGTTTTGTGGGCAGAGTAGCTTGCAACTGGAAAAATTCAAGAAGGAAGAGTCTTCAATTAAGTAAAATCCTGTTTAATCTGTCACAGACAAAAAGAAAAAAAWACAGTAGGGGACAGGGAATTTTGATTTCTGCTTTGCAATCTTGTCTTTGCCTTGCATCAGTGCTTTGGGAATAGGTGGACTTGAGTTAGAATTCTCTTGCCCATATTCTGGAATTGCTGGCAGACATTGAACAGAGCTGCTTCCAGTGTCAGCCACCAGCACKCAGGGAGAGGTGGAGACACATGAGAAGTGAGGAGCTGCTCCTTTCAGGGGAAGTTTGAACAAACTGGGCTGTTACAGAGCAAGAGGCTCAATGGCCAAGCCTGAGCAGCCAGAATTCAGASTTTAAATGAAGAGCAAGGGGATGGTTTGTCATTGCACAAGTCAAGGCAAGGGGCTCTCTTTCAATATTAAGAACATCAGCCAAATGTTTTTGAGAYACAGATTTGTTTACAGTGATATGAGTGATATTCAATAGGGAAAAAAAAAGCTTAATGTGTAGCTTAGCTGGCTTCTCCCAATGCTGCAAGGCAGAAAACACAGAAAAAGGGTTTGCTGCCAGGTGAGGTAAAACTTGTGGTCTCTGAATTGCCTGCTGGAGCCCTTTCTCTTTAGCTGCTGATTAKTTTATCTGATGCAAGGGGGGAAAACTAACCAGGCAGAAAGTTAAGTCCCTAGCAAAATCTTAAAGCCAAGGTAGTTTGTGTTAACTCTTGCTGTTAGTTTTGTCTGAGCCRGGGTTGGCAACAATCTGGGACTGAATCCTCTGCTTGGAGTTGAAGCAGGGTCCTACAGTCCCCTGGAGGTGGCAAATATTGAGGAGCACTCATGGATGCTTGCCCTGTATAGATTGTCTATGATTTTGTCTTGAGTCCAGAGCTTTCCTAAAAAGGTTTCAAGGTAAAACAATGTCTGCTGCCTTGGGAGGGATCCAACAGCACTGAAATAGATCTTGTGAGCCCTTTCTCAAGGTCATCAGGACAGGAGAAGGCCGGAAAGGAGTGTCCCGCTTGAGTATGGGCTAATTCAATGTGGTGATGATTCATGTTTCACATCCCAGGATGGCTTGATATTTCATGTATTTGTTACCTTTTATAGCAGTGCAAAGTATGTAGAATTTAATTGTCAGAATCACAGTGACAACAATAGCTGAACTGAGTTAAAATATACTTCTCACTCAGCCTTATCAGCCCTGGCATTCTCCTGAAAATACCAGTAAAACCCATAACCCTGGGAAGATCTATGCTCTGCTTTAATGGTCTTTGAAAATCTGGTGAAAAATTAAATGGGCCCTGGAACAATTCTCAAAGATGATAAATTCATTTTTTTAACAAATGCAGTTAAAACAATGCTCCTGCCCTACGCCTGATGACATCAATGGTGGTTTTGTGACTGGCTCCAGGAGCAACGAGGCTAAAGCACTGGTTGTATGGCAAGTAAGGTGAGGATATCTTCAGTCTGAGAGCGCCTTGGGTTGAGGAATGAGCACCAGCCATAGCATCAACCATCAGCCTAGGGGGAGTTTTGACAGATGGTAAGAAAAACCTCTTTCACTTCTTGCTGCAACAATGTGGAACAATGTGAGCTCCTACAATAATCGGTGTGTTGTGCTGGCCTTTGTCTGAATCTTGCACTTTTTTAAATTAACAATTGATAAATTCATTAGTCTGACAGAAATTTGGCTCCTTTACTTTTGGATGGAAATTTCTTCTTCATTTATAAGTAAGGAGAGTTATTTGTGAGGAAAGGATTAAGAACTCTATATGTTATTTACCAGATCAACTGCTTTTTAATGATTTCAGTATGGGGTAAAAAAAATATTCCAAAAACTGTTCTTAGCTCCACAGTAAGAATTATATTTGTATACATGTCTGCATGCATGTACAGATAGGGCATTTTTTGTTCAGACTTTTTTCTGTGTAGTCATTCCCCATCTGACACTTCCAGGCTGATAACTGGTGGCAGCAGTGGCTTGCAGAACACTGCACTTCGTGACATTGTGGAGTTCTACCTTCCCATAATAGAGCTCAGCCTCTGAATTTTGTATTCTCTTTGCCTGGTGAGGAAAAGCAGCCAAAGGCTATCACGGTTTGGGCTCAGCAGCTGGTGGCTTCCATAGTTTCACATCTGGCACTGTTAAAAAAAAATTAAAAATGGCTTTGCTGCACCAGCAATTGCTTTCACAGGTGCTGGCACTGAATTTCAGTTTGTTGGTGGTACAACAGCTGATTTGGGCCACTCAGGATCTACTTCACAAAACACTTCAACTTGAAGTTTACTGCAAGCACATTAAGATATCCAACTGTTATTAATGATCATAATACTGTTTGGTATTTTTTCCTAGGCAGGCCTTGAGGCTTGATGGATCCTCCCTGCAAACTGTAAGCTTTGCCCAGTCAGTTCTCTGCTGGCTGTTCTCACCCCGCTGTGCTCTGCAGTACCRGCTCTGACGTGAGGGATGGTGTTTGGTGTGAGATGTTGTCTCACTCTGCAGTGGTGGAGCAGGGCTCTGTCTACAGCAACTCAGAGAACCAAATAGGAAACAGGATTTCCCCCAACAGGCGTCAGAGTTTTCAGACATGAACCGTTGTAATGGGATATACAGCTGAGCAAACCCCACAATTTATACTGAATGACTTCAGACTTGACAAACACAGCAGGTGGGACCTYGAGCTCCCTTCACCTGAGCACCACGCTATAGCTGTTTTCTCTCAGGATTTACTAGAAGTAATGTTCTTGTTAATGTTTTATGCAGGGTGGGTTCTGATAAATGCCAGCCCAAGCAGCCTTGACCCTGTTTGTTTGGTACAAACTCTGCCAGTGTTACGTGCTCTGCACCCTCTGGGGCCCAGCAGAGCTGGTGTTTGGCTCCTGCTGCAGCCTCAGGAAAATGCCCTTTCAGGACCTCAGCTCTTCTGCTAAAGTCTCCCTCTTCACTGAGACCATCCTTGAGTGAGAACGTTGCAGCATATTTTAAAAGCTCTAACTGCCTGGAAATGGTCCAGACAGCCCCTTACCTATTGCCATCGTTGTGCTGCTCTCCCCCTCCCTCCGTAACGCTTCCCAAGCAGATCCGTATCATTAATATTTCAGGATCAGCTCTAGACGGGCATTGGCTACACTGCAGCACACTTCATCAATAAGAGCCAGGCAGGGCTGTGAGCTGTGCCACACTGCCTTCATCCAGCACAGGAGGAAGAGCAGAGGCAGCGCCTGCACACGAACCGACTATCTGCCGAGAGTAAGGCTGCATCTCACAGTCCCAGCCTTGAGGTGCTTTTTGCTGCTTTTGCTCCCTCATTCAGCTCATCCCAGACAATACCCTAACAAGCAACAAGGATGGATGTCTTTAAGAAAGGTTTCTCCATTGCTAAAGAAGGTGTGGTGGCTGCTGCAGAAAAGACCAAGCAGGGAGTGACAGAGGCTGCAGAGAAGACCAAAGAAGGGGTAATGTATGTAGGTAAGAGAGAACTGGTTTTGATCTACTTTTGAGCATGAACAGCTGCATAAATTGTTATTGTGGCTGAAGCTTGGGAGTGACTAACAGGATAGTCTGGGTAAGAGCCTCAGCTCTACAGAGTTTCTGTGTAAACCTGGGCTGCCACAGCCGCCCTGTGCCTCAGTTTCCCCAGCTGCAAGTTAGACATRGAAACCACGGGGGAGGCAGCACGATGTCAAGGAGCAGGTGCTCAGGCRTGAGGTTTGACAATTCACTGATTGTTTGCAGGGGGAGTCAGACACTCTCCAGGCATCGGAGCACTGCCGGTCTCTGCYTCACCTCCACACGGGGAGAGACTCACTGAGGAGATCCCTGAGAGGAGCCAGCGGTGTCAGTGAGGGGGGATTGCAGGATGCATCTGTTTCCCCACAAACAAACGGGTTTATCCTGAAATCCTTCTCCTGCTCACTGACCCATTTCGTTGCCTGTGCACACATTAATCTTKCTTTACAAGAGATGCCCAAATTCCCTTTGCCCAAAGAATGGGATCTGGAAAACAGCAATGCCTGATGTCCAGTCTAGAGACCTCTTTCACAGTTAATGGGCTGAAACCTCCCCTTTCAAGGTTACCCTCAAAACGCACTATCTCCACTTATCTAGCACATGCAATTATATGGCTGGATGGTCAGATATTACAGATAATGCAAACTCTTTAGAGTTTTAGGCTCCCAAGACTGATTCTCTCGCTGCTGATTACTGCATTTCACAGAGCTTTTTATTTCTGCTGGATGTGGGAGTGTTTCTTTCTGTAGGAAAGTTTACATGCAGGCTCTTCCTGCTATCATACTGCAACATCCACAGCTGTACTTAGCTACTTAAAACAGCTYTGTTGGCAGTAGCTACAGATATGCATTTGTACATTACAAATTAATTATAAAATGTGTATGTAGCAGGTCTGGTAATGCCTTCYTCTTAAATTTTAAATACTTAATTATTGACATGGTGGAAATGAATGGATGTGACAGTACACATTTCAATTTGAAGCTGAACCACAAGAAAAAAGGTAAGCAGCATCTCTGTAAACAACTAAACTAACTGAAACACTAGTCTGCAAAATGTCACATGTGGGTGTCAGGTTGKGGCATCATTATTGCTCCACCTGCTTCCAGATTTGAGTTGTGTTGGGGTTATTCAGAATTTTTGTACATAATTCCYCACAGCTCTGTTCAGTCACGTTGTGCACCTCCATACTGTGACCTGGTTTTCATTGTTGCACAGCCAAGAGGTCTCTTTATGGGATTCTAACCTATTCAATAAAGTTTTATACAAGCCTGAAACTAAAAATTCTTGAAACCTTAATCTCTGAATGAGGATGAAATAAGGATCAAGATGAGGTTTAAGTGCCTTCTCCTTTTTTGGTTTGGTTTRTTGCTATACTGCCAGTTCCTGCCCTGTCATTCACAGGTCAGYGCTTTGCCTTGGCCTCACTCAGTTCCTGTTGGGACCTGGAGGAAGCTGAGCCCTTTGGGGAAAATTCAGGCTTTCACAGGCAGGAAAAGTAAAGGCCAGATGCTGATTAGCTCAGAAAATAGGGGTTTGTTTTAATAACCAGAGAAGGTGGAGGTGTGGTATGTTGGTCAAAACTGGAATGATTARTGTGTTGTTCATGCTGCCTTTTAACACTCTGTGCCACATAAAGAGTAAATCAAAGACCTGAACTGTTCTTTCATTGCTCCTTCCCTTGCAGAGCATTGCTCCTTCCCAGCAGCTCCATCGAGAGCATTAGGTGATGAAACTTGAATTTTTGGATGCTAGGAGAGAATAATACTGTGTAGAACCTTGAGGGTCTTTTTTTGAGAAGGTCAGGAAAGGGAGCAGAATCCCCAGGGCCTAGGATGGATGAAGCAGATTCCTGACTTTCATTTAGATATTTGTGTTAACTCATTGCTGACTCTCTAAGGAGGAATCCAAATGTCTGGGCACATCCACCATGTCTGGTGAGTCACTGCTGCTGCCTGGGAGAAGAAAAAAATGCTCACTCAGAGGCATCAGTSAGGAGTGAATAGTGTCACTGGGACACTGTGGCCACCTCGTTCCCCTCTGCTCCCTGCAGATTCAGCTCCCACAGCCCATGTCAGGGCAGCAGATGCCTCCCTCCTGTGTSCCTCCTGTGCTGCCCCTGCAGTGCGGTGCTCCTGCCCCACCACCGGCCCTGCTGAGCGGGTGGGGGAGAGCAGAGGGTGCACAAAAAGAGCACCCTTGGGGAAATCACAGACTGCTCTCCAAATCCTAACAGCCTCTGATTGCACCCAAGTGGTAAAGGATCCCTGCACACTTAGTGTGGATCCAGCATTTGGTTCAATGGGCTGTCTTTTTAAAATTGGTTTAAAAAGGGGTATAAGTGATGCTAAAGTTAATTAATGTAATGCAAAGCTGCATCAGAGTATTGAGTCATGAGTACTGTTCAATGCTATAGCTCAGGAAACCTCAAAACAGTGCACTACTGGCTTTGCAGAATGATTTTTGACCATGTGTGTCACCRAAAGCCCCAACTCACCGAGTTATGCGTAAACTAAGGGACTCCTGCAGAACTTAAAGCACATCAAAACACCCCTTTTTATCTAGGCCTTGTCCCAGTGCAAAGCACTCGGTCCCACCCTGGCGGTCCCAAGGCACTCACAGATGACTCACAGCACTCAGGAGGCATGAACTTCTAATTCTGTGTGCAAAGCCGCAGGCAAGGACTAATGAGTGAAATGAGATTGAGCATCAGGTGATTGCTTTCTGATTCAACAGATGCGGGTTGCTGGCAGCAGCGAGCGCCGGAAGGTCGGGTTTCGTGCGGTGCATAATGGATGGGAGCCTGAGTCATCGGGCGTGGCTCGGCTGGGAGGATGGGGCCAGCTCTGCCCAGGCTGCAGCAGTGACTCTTCCCAATGACATTGCTTCTGTCGCCAAATGGATTCGGATGCTTTTCTTCTCTTTGCATCCTTTCTGGAGTTATTTTCCATCAGTAAATAGAGCACCTACCGCTCCCCTCCCCCTGTAAAAGAATTGAACCCAGGTAGTCACCTGAAAAGTCTGGTAAAAAACATACAGAAGTAYACTCTTGTCTCACTAAGCGTGTTTACCACAAAACTGAAAGGCATGAAAGGCTGGTAGAGCAAATCATGTGCCTTACTTAACTATCAATTGTTCTTTGACCAAAAACCAGCAAAGGGCTAAGCTTGAGCATCTGTGTCTGATACAAGACAAGTTTGTATGTCAAATCAATATTGTGCCAGTCTTTTATTGGAATGGTATTGGGAGGGAAAACAAAGCAGGATGCAGTCTGAATTGAACTGGGTGTSTTTGGCCCATTCAGGGGCTCACATTCATGGTTTGGGACCTGCACCTGCTCTGCTCAAGGCTATGCTTCTGGACAGATTTGTGTATCGTGGGAACGGCAGTTCGCAGCAGTAACAAATAAAAGGTACAAAGATTTCATCTCTGGAGTTCTAACACAGKTTGGGAGGGTGGAGCGAAATGTTGAGGGCATATTTTAGTAGAACAGTTTTGTTCTGCCCCAGGCAAACATTGCAACCCCCAAAATAAATCAACAATCGAGAATTACATTCAATAATACGTAGCATGTATCAGGCAGAGCAGAGCTGGGCTGGACCTCTTGTTATCAGGGCACTGCACGTGTTTTGCTTTTCAGGCTGTTAATGCGAATTAGCTGTGGTTTGTAGCTGGTTTCTCYCACCACACCCACGGATGCTCCATTACCATGGGGGTCAAAAATCTGCCCGATTGTCCATTTTTATCCTTTTGACAGTTGGCCATAGCAATCCTTTTGTTGTATCAGTATGGGAAACTTAAAGAGAACTTGTATAGGTACMGATGATTTACAATACACAGTAAAGTGGGACTAGTGGAATATTTTGGCACATGTTTATTTAACTTCCAACAGAGATAAATTTGATCCTTTATTTTTTCTAATGTGTAAAGCACCTAGTTACAATGGGGGCTGCCCGTCTGCTATATGATTTAACTTATCTGCTGCAGTACCAAGTAGAAGGGATATATAGCTGGTCACTTCAAATGTGGAGTAAAATCACAGAGATTAATTATTCCTTAGGGCTATTTGTGTTGCAAACTGGATGCCTTCACATCCTGTTAGCTTTTCTGCACTGAGAACAGACAGATGAACTACAATGCAAGCATACATGTGGTGTACATTCATAATTTGATATAAACCCATCTGCTTTCTGTGTATTGTTGTGAGCATTTACAGCCTAGACTGAGGCACTGAGGGGGGAATCTAGTAAGCAGGTGTGTAGTAGGTGGCTGGTGGTTCTGCAAATTCAGTCTCAGGTTTCTCCAGAGTCTTTAAGTAATACAGAACGAGACTTTAAATGACCACTGCAGCCAGGTATCGTGCTGAAAGGCAGGGGAGAACCATGGATGCAACTCCATATCTTGCAAGACTGAGGTTGGTGAGATACTGCCAGGTGATTTTATTTACAGTCATTTTTACAATTAGCTGGAAGTTGATTTACCACYGCTTGACTGCTCATTTGGGAAATATTCCAGGGACAATTTTTCATATTCAGCATGGTATAATCAAGATTTTTTCAGGTCTAGGCATCTCCAGAGAATTTGCTGTTGAAGCTCTCCARCTCTCAGCACAAAGGTACTCATTGGCTTTATTGGGGAGGGAAGCTAGTCTCTTTTCTGGCTCTACAAACTATTTGTGTCTGAGCAGGAGGTACCAGCAGCCCCCCAGTCCACACTGCCCTTCCTAGGAGCAGGAAGCCATCTGTGTCCAGAAATCAGGGTSTTCTTTGCCAGGCAGCACTGATGGATTGTGTTTCCTTTCACAGGCACCAAAACCAAGGAGGGCGTAGTGCAAAGCGTGACCTCAGGTAAGAGCCCTGAGAGAGATGTGAAAATCTGCTTTTTTTAATTTGTTAGAGCTCTTGGGAAGGACATCACCCTGCCAAGTGGCAGATCTCTGTGAAACACCACCAATCTACCTGACTTTCCAGCTGATGAATGGWGGGTGCTTGCCAGGAGCGATGGTTCGGGGTCTGGCATTTGCAGTGGACACGGATGGGAGAAAATATTGAATCAGTAGAGCAGGCCAAAAAATTTAACAAAGGTTACTTGGCAGACTGGAATGATTCACAGCAATTTAGACATTTCACAATGTCAAGTGCACAGCCCAGCAGACAGAGAGGATTTACTTGCATCAGATACTGTCTGGCCAAGACCGTGGTCTTTGGGAGACTTCTGTCAGGCAGTCACAGAGTCAGGGACCAAAAGGGTTCCTTCTAGGATATCCCAGACTCCAAGATCCAAGGCAGAGCAGCCATATGGRCCACCCTGCAGGAAGATGAATGCATCCTTTCCCCAAAGAATTTCGTAACTRTTTCTTCRTTCTGCCAAGGGGCATTGAACCAAACAGAAGGTACCCAGGGAGAGGCCATGGACAGTTTGCAAYGCAAAATACCTTATTTACACTGTTKTCTCTTAGTATCTGACTGAATTTTTCATTCTCCWGTTGCCCACAAAGACTGACAGGCTGCAGTACTGCTCTCTGAGCAGCATTTTGTGTCAGACAAAAGTCATCACGTACATGATCTAAATTCAGACGTGATCTCATCGAAAAAATCCAGACAAGGACTGCACCAGGACTGATTTCTTCTTTTACACCAATAATTTTTTCATCCCAGGGAATTTGACAGCCTTCTGGTAGTGTCTAGCTTGCTGATTTTCTGCTTTTGTTGAAAATGCAGTTGCTGAGAAGACCAAAGAGCAGGCCAATGTGGTGGGAGAAGCTGTAGTAGCCAGCGTGAACACAGTGGCAAACAAGACTGTGGAAGGAGCAGAGACAATTGTGGCCACTACAGGAGTGGTAAAAAAGGTATGTTTATTTCTCCATGATGTACGAGACAGAAGAGCCTTTGCATTACACTTAAAGTACCTGCAAACATTTACAGTTGATGGTTTTACTTGTTTCATGAGAGGTTTTCAGCAGTATCTGCTTTTGTATAACAATAATATCATACAATGCCTAATATAGTCACAGAATCAATTAGTTTGGAAGGGACCTCTTGAGATCATCTAGTCCAACCCCCTTATGGCCAGAGAGAGAGGACTGTGTCCCACTGGCTTTTTGAATCTCCGCAGAAAGAGACTCCACAGTATCCCTGGGAAACCTGTGCTAGTGTTTGACCACCCTCAAAGGGAAAAAAGAGAATTGTTTTCTTCTGTTCAGATGGACACGTTAATCCCTTGATGCCTGTTTGTCTCTTGTCCCATCAGTGGGCGCTGCTGGCCAGAGMCTGGCTCTCCATTTTCTTATGACTGTAGAAAAGCATTCTTGCCAGGTGTTGAGCAGAGATGTGTCTGGGCTGCAGTGAGCATCTGGCCCGAGTGGGAGCTCTGGGATGTGCGGGTGGGAAGGCACAGGAGCCAGCCCTTGCCCTCACCCCTGTGCCGTGCTGGTGGGATGCACGGGCTCTCCCCGGCTGCTCCGGAGGCAGCAGAGGGCAGCAGCAATTCAGGCACAGCCCAGCTCCAACTTTGGAGCTGTGTTTTTTTCCTGCTGCTCTGCTTTGGGCTGGTTTGACAACAACCGAGTGCTTATTGATAAAGGCCGTGTGACCCGAATTGTGTACGGGTTAAGCCACATTCAGACAAGGCATCTTCTGTCCTCCAGCCTAATTTGACAAACGGGGCTGCTTCAAGGGAGAGGATTACGGGGCATGTGAAGGAGCAGAACAGCTCCTTAGCTGAAGGCAGTGTTGATCATTAGAGAAGATGCTTTGGTAACAAACAGCACTCATTTGTACAGCCCATGAGGCCAATCCTTGGCAGCTCTCTGGTAAACCCAGCTCTTTCCCCTCTTYAGAGAGTGTGATCAGTGCTGTTGACAGCCACATGAGCTTGATGAGTCACAACAGACCCAAACCCAGAATCAAAGCAAAGCCAGGCTGGCCGAAATTGTTTTAATTGTTCAGATAGTCGGCTGATTAATTTCCTGACCTGCACATAAACACATTGTGATGTGAAACAAAACTTCTACACAGCATATAAATCCTGAGAGAATAGCCTAACAAAAGAGGAGAACAGCAGCTACAAGTGACGCAAAATGTCCTCCTGAAAGCATGTGAAAAGGGCAGATACAYGAGTTCTGCTAAACCCTTGGGATAAATTTAATCTCTATTCCCACAGGGAGCAGCAGTTAGGCTGCAGGAGTGCAAACAGTGATTCCTAGTTCCATGGGGCCCCTCCTGCCTTTTGACTGWCCGTGGGGTGATTGACCCAGGAGAGTGAGGAATTTGCTGATGGTAGGAATCCCTGCTGCAGATATCGAACTGTCTCCCCTCCAGCAAGGACTGGGCGGCAGCAATCTTCTTCACCTTTCCTCCTAAGTGAGAGCCCTACCTCAAAAACTGACAGTTTACAGCTAATTTTAGAGCTTAAACCAGTGCAAGTTTTCCAGAGAGGTAAATCATTGAGCATCTGAACTGTCATTCTTCCATTGATGAACAACTGCTTAGAGTTAAAATGGAGATTGATTAAGAAATAAAAAATGAGGATGTGTCACATGCTAAAGGGCAGACTGAATGGAGCCAGGAAATTGCCTTGGGTAGAGCATCATGGTGTCATGCCAAACAGCAGAGGTGGGCAGCAGACTGCAAACACAAGGAGAAAAACAAGACAAATCACAGGAGAAAAGAAAATTCAGGAAAAATGTTTGTTTCTGTGAAAGTAGGTTTGTCTCTTCTACTGGTTTAGTTCAGTTTTGGAGTGAAAATCTTTTATTCACCCTCACCATAMTGTAGCATCTGGCTAGACACCTTTTGGATCCAGCTAGACACGGAAGATTGAGCTCCACATGCACACCGGGTGCATCCCCATTGCTAATGGATAACTGTCATGGAGCCAAAGCTGCTCCAGAGGGAGGGCCCTGGAAGGAGTACAAGGAGTTGTGCTGGGATCTCAGCACTGGCCGTTTTTTCTCCAGAATTGCTGCTATCATGTTGCACAATTTGCTAATGGAAATATATCCAGAGTTTGCCAATAGCAGCACCAGGCACCGTTAATGCATGTGGGAGACCCACTGGAGGTACTCTAAGAGTGATAAGGAATAGCTTTTAAATGTTTAAACAGAATACCCACTGCCATTATCTTGCAATCCTGGAATCATCACAAACATTTCAGCCCCTGAAGTCTGAGAGAGTTATTGCATCCAGTCCTGAGACTTGTTTGTGCTCCATACCATCCTCCTTTCTRATTGCAAAGAGTACTTGCCAACATCATATTTGGGTTTTCAGCAATCTCCGGTGTTGTTCCCTACTGACTTTATAGAGGGGCTGTTCAAGAGCCAGGGATCTGTGCTGCAGGTGACTCGGGGCTGGGACATGTCCCARCTGACCATGCCCAATGTTAATATCAGTTACAGAGAGCTTGTTGACATTTAATCTGTGTTTGACAGCTGTGGCAGGCACACACTAGGAAGGAGAAGGGAACTCTAAGGGTTTTGGGTTAAGTTTTGCTCGGGATAGCCGTGGGGTACTTGAGCTCTGCAGGTGGATCTGATAGTGACTTGGGCCATGGGAAAGAATTCAGCCCTTCGTTGCATCATGGCACTGAAATGTGGGCACTCTGGAACCCTGCTGCTCCTTACTATCCTTGGGGGCAGCACTCAGAGCCATGCAGAAGGAAACAGGGCTGAAGTAACTCTACACCTATGGAGGGGTGCCAAGCACCAGATGAGAGCAACCTTGACTAGTGCTGGCACTGCCTGATAGGGCTTTGGCACTGACCTGGTCACTGCTGAGTGCAAGAAAATATTGACTGATTTGTGGGAGTTTTAAAGTATTAACTAAAAAATCTATAAATTAAGATATTATAAACTCTCAGTGGTTTTTCTGATACAGAAAGGAATGAAACCCATCAGTAGTGTATTCTGTCTGTGGCTTTGCACCCATCCCCATCTCTGGGGTGGACACKAAGAGATTCCAGTTAGATAACCACCCACTAAATATCCCTGTCTTAGAAGAGAATTAATTCTTTGTCTGTATGACACAGCAGAGAGCTTGCTGCAATGCAGACACCACATGGCTGGGAACAAGCCCTGTACATGCACACGCTCTCAAAATGTCCCTCAGGGTTTGGAAYCATTTCCTCAGTAACTGATGCTTCCCCACACCCTCCACCTGGATCTTGCCTTTAGATCTATTTGTCCTGTCAGTGTTTATGATTTAGTTGTCAGCTCATGACTCTGTCACTTTGAATTGGGTCTGATCTTTTTTTTACTTCGCTCCATTAATTAAATGAGCAGTTGTCAGTTATGTGCAACCGCTGGGCGCGTTCTCTGCATCACAGCRTTTCTGTGCACCCAATCTGGCACACGTGGGCCTCACCCACACTGTGGCTCATCTCTTTCATAACAACTGCACATCTTGAATGTGGAAGGCTGATGTTCATGGCCTTATTTCCCTTCACTTACACCCTGTGATGCTGCYGACACGAAGGCAGTCTCACCAAAGGAATTAGAAGCAGAAACTGAGCGACCTCCCTGTTCAAGTCAAACTGGGATGGGCAAGTGCCACTAGGAGAGAGCAACCAAGGGTATCTGAGAAGCCACCAAGGGCAGAGCTGCTAAGCAGGAGGAGCAGGGAAATCAACAGCCAGACTACCTAACAATTAAGTGGAATAAGTAGTTGAAACTTCTCCCCCTTTGTATTCAAGCTTCATTGTGCTTAGTTGATGCAGTGATGCATGCCAGTGGTATCCTTCATGGAGCAGGGGAGACTGCAAAAGCAACGTGCAGTGGGGCACTCTGCCTACAGGCACTTTTTCTGTGCATCACTCTGTCTCATTAGTGCATCCAGGCAAACATTTTCCCATGCAAAATATCTGAGTTAGTGGCACTGGTGAAGCCTCAAAGCCTGCAAGACCATGGATGGGCTTCATGGCTCAAGACTGTTCCCCAGCAATCCTGTAGCACACGTTAAGTGTGTTGTTTGTATAAGCAGTCTTACGAAAATCTCAGAGAGTCTGGCTGTGAGCTGGATAAAAACCAAGCCACTCCAAAAGTCTACCTGGATTTGTAGGGTAAGACAGGAATCCTGCACGCCCATCTGTCTGTCCTGTTGGTGGGTCCTCTCACTTTAATCAAGGATTGATCCCTCAGTCAGAGCTGTCAGCATCGCTCTGAGCACACTCAGCCTGAAACCTCTCWAGAACAGCTCGTCCACAGGACCTGTCAGGCTGCCTCAGGGTTTCCAAGGGAGTGGTTTGGGGATCCTGCCAAGCTGCATCATGTTTGCTCCAAYACCCAAGGTCAAGAGCACTACAGGAGGCTGAACCTCTCCACCTTATGCAATTGATGTCCCATTGAGGGCTCTTAAATTTGTAGCAGATGAGGCTGCCAGTGAATTGGCTTTACAGCCTTAAAATGATGATAATAATGATAATAACAAAGAAATCCTGCTTGCCACTCAATTGGTTGAGTGTTGATAAATATATTCCAGCATTCCGATATTTGAACTGCTTTCTCTGTTATATAAGGAAAATAATAAGATTATATCCAAATATTTGGAGACAGCAACAAAACTCCTACTGCTCTATAAGGTAATATAGACAAAAAATCATAAATTCCACTTCATATATGGACTCAGCAGAACATACAACTCATTTGCTGAGGAGCTAAAAAAGGGAATTCCATAGAACTTGTGAAAATGAGAAATCAGAGGAATTAAATAGTATTTTTTTCAGTATTTCTGGGCTTTTAAAATCAGTTTTTAAAAAACTTATTAAAATATCTGAACCCAGAAGCCTATATACAGTCTATTTAAGATCTCTTAGCATTGTACAGGAATATTTTTATAAATGGCAGGTCTTAATTTGTTGAGTTTTTCATTAGTGATAGCTGAGCATGTACCTATGTTTTATAACCTCAACAAAGTACTGTATTTCATATATATAGATAATCTGTTGTGTATATATTCTACATAAAAATGTATTTTTAAACACACAGAATATTTTAAAAACTTGCATAGTATTTCTGGAAGGAATTTTAAGGTCTTATTTTTCACTTAACTAGCATGTTCAAGTACTTCAATTTTCTTTCCTCACTAGCAAAAAAAAAGATTCAAAATTTGTCCTCCCAAAAATAGAGGAAAATAGCCCATAGCAAACTAATTTTTTTTTCCATTTAAAATACTTTTTTCAAAGAAAATGTGTAATTTCTGAGGGGAAAAATTCAGCTCACCCTTTAAGAGCAGAAGGGTCATTACTAATTGCTCCGTGGTTTCAACATGTCTTTCCCTTAAAAACGTTATCCCTTTTAATGAGAAGATGAGCATTGACAGGAATGACAAAACTCTTGCTGTCCCCCAAGGAAGCTGGGTTTTCATCCCTTCTTTCTTGCCCAGCATTGTTCTGTGAGTCAGTGTTAGAGCTGGAATTGGTGCCCAGGAATTTCTGGCTCTTCACYCAAAGTGAAGACCCCTCCTCCACATGGTCCTCCCCTATAGATGGTCTTGCTGAGCAGTCACTGAAATCCCCAGCCAGCTAACACCCAGCTGAAGAATGCAGCCCTTCCTCATCTCCTGCTCCCTATTCTGGGCAGGGTGGAAGCACGTGAGAAAAAGGCTGTGAGGTGACATCCCTAACACGGCCTGACACCTCTTCATCCTGCTATTGTGCTGGTTCCTCCTATAGAGTTTAGAAACACCCTCCAGAAACTCAGTTGCTTCCCTTTCCAAAAATAGATGGTTGATTTTTAGCCTTCTGGAGCAGAGTCTTGGCAGAGAGCACAATCTAAGGGATCTCACAACAGCAYAATAGCTGAACAGGGATTCTCCAGCTCAGCCATTGCTCTTGGATACCATGTCCTCAGGGTGGTCCTGAGAAAGGTGTCCCTCTCCCAGGACTCTTTCTGCACCTACCAGAGCCCAGGAGCAACAGGTGGTCATACTCTGTGGAGTGCACTGCCCTGGTCCTTGTGTTCCTGTGAGCTGTTTCCCGATTTTCCCAATGCTGCTCAGCACTTCAGGCAGTTCCCTTTTACTGACCTTCACAATTTCACAGTAGCTGGTAAGTCCACCTGCAAAACATTATGAAACACCTGCTGCTGCAGCTATTGTCAGTGGTTTGCATTGGAGGTTTCTTTCCTTTCCACCTAACAGTCAAAAATCTGTGTGTAAAGCAATTTGAGTCTCTTTACCTGCTTTGGCCTAATGTGTGCTGTTGAGCTATAAGGTGTAGTCATTTTCACACAGCCCTATATGCAAAGTGTAGTGTAAATGCCAATGTAAAGTGCTTTAAAGCCAAATTTATGGATGAGCCTCCATAAATTGGGAGTAGTGAGCTGTTTGCTGGCAGCAGGAGAGCTGACTCATTTCAGAAAGGCTGTGCCCGAGCGGCTCCATCAGAGCATGGCCTCTCCTGGAGAGCTGCAGGYCTCCCTGCAGGATAAACTGGCTGCCATGACGTGCATTTGATGTCCTTTGKTTACCTGGGCTTGCTTACCACAGCTCAGGCTGGTACCAATGAGACTCACTCAGCCAACAGTGCAGTGCAAATTAAGAGTACGTTCCTAGGGAAAGGCAATCACACTGTGCTTCTCATCTGGAGACACCACCAGAGCATGGTGCTCTCCATAAACAGACTGATCTGGTCTCAGCAGGGAGATGAAGGGAATGCCTGCAGCTGTGACAGACATCACAACAGGGCTGCAGCTCGTACTTTGGCTATTTTCTGTCTTTGGTGGATTGATCTTATGGGAGTTTGCACGGAAAGCAAGAAGCCCGTACGTAGGACAAGCAGGTTGCAGTACTTCTACCTCCTGGCAAGCAGGTTGCAGTACTTCTACCTTCTGGCTCCCTTTGTTGCCACAAATGGATCTGAAGTTCAATATCCAGCTTAAATTTTCATGGGCTCTACCTTCTATCTTACGTAACTCCATCTACTTTTTCCTTTTTACTTCACATCACTTTTCTTCCTTCATTCAGTCCAAAAAGCAGCAGGGATCTTCTCCTACTGATGACAACAGCTGTTGCTGTACAGAAAAGAAAGGACATKTAAAAATGAAGAGTGGAGTTCCCCAAACCAACTGAGCATGAAGTTCTGTTTACAATCAGTTTGGCAGGGATATTTGATTMGCATTGCATCAACATCAGCACCAGACAAAGTGGTGGCCTTCTGTTTCCAGTATGTTGCAATTGATAACTCTGCCTTCCGATAATAATTATCTTCTGAAAGTTCTGCAGAATTTACTTTCCCTTTTCATAATACATGTGTGTCCAGTTCCCTCTGTGGTGTCCCTGAGTTCATGTGGAAAGAGAGTCATCCAGAAAAACTGCTGGGCATGTGTGCTCAAAGGGAACAGAGAACTTTGTCATTTCAGTTTAATTTCCTGGTGATTTGGGGCTGGGCTACAGAGGTCCTGCTATTTCTGCTTCCCCTACTCTCACTGACTGATTCCACAGAGGTGCATTTCTGCTTTCTGTCCATCCCCTATGCACATCCAGGATGGTCAGGATTTTGTCTTCTCTTCTCATGTAGCTAAATTGTGTTTAACACAATTGCCTGGTATTGCAACCTTTTCTTCTGTGAATAGGAAGGTAGCTGAAAGATACAGGCAAGTAGCTAAAAAAGCCCAAAATACTTAAGTAAATGCTTGGACTCAAACAAAAAGAAAAGCTTATCCTTTGATAATGATATTTTATCAGAAGTTTTAACACCATGGCAGTACTGCTGTATCTTTGATYAGCTTTWGTCACTGCARTTAKTACTTAGGKTAAGTAAGATAATGCAGGGAARGGGTTGRTATAGKCTTACTAYAGGCAAATTTATTTGTTYCTCCTAAATTTCTTCACACTGAAGSAGTCAAAATTCTGGTCTCAATGACAGAAAAATAATTGATTTTCTGTATGAAAAAGACCCTAAACCAGGCTCTAAGAAATTGAATTGGCATTTTCATAAATATCTGCTCTAACCAGCTGCGCAACAAAAACTGATTTCAAGGAGTATCTGCCATCYATTAAAGCTTCTATTTTGCTTGCGTGTGTAATGCTCGAGCCCATCTCGCAGAGTCTGGCTAAGATTAGGGCGATGACTCTGCATGTGGCAGCAAGGACAAACATCTTGCTTGTGACTTGGCAGGAGGACCTGGCAGCGCCGCAGCCGCCCGAGCAGCCCAGGCTGGAGGGAGAGGGAGCCCCGGCGAGCACCGGCGGAGAGGTGAGTGGTGCCATGGCCTGGCTGCCCCGGGCTCTCTGTGCCACACCTTGGCTCTTTCTGGGTTACTGCCTTCCCCCTGAGACAATCTCCCCTTTGCCTCCTGTGGTTGTAGCACTGCCATGCACTGTTCCTGTTTTCCAGATTACTGGACAAAATCCTGAGCTCATCAGTTCTTGCTTTTGTCACTTCCTTATCTCGGGAATTTTCCATGAACAACAAATGGGCAGATTGCAAACCACCGCCTGATTTGGGTTGATTTTGGGGTGTTAATGCTGCAAATGGACAGATTGCAAACCGCTGCCTGATTTGGGTTGATTTTGGGGTGTTAATGCTGTCCTAGGGTTCCATCAGCACATGGAATAGCTTCTTCCTGGTTGCAGTCGTGCTTTAGAAGAGATTCAGATAACAAGTTAGGTTTTTCTATAGATTTTTCCGTATTTAAATTAGTTAATTTAATTTTTGAATTGTTCTAGCTGCAATGTTCTTTTGAAGCCCAGGGTCAAGCATCAGTCTCTGGGCCAATTTCAGCTCTTGAACAAGGCTGATTTTTTTGTCCAACATGGACAATCGGGGCAAACACTTCTTACATGGTATTTCCTTTACAATTTCAGTGTTAAGGCCTTTGTCTGCCCCTTCCACAAGTATTGCATGTACCCAAACCCCACAGTATTCAGCCTTTCTGAAGCTCAGACAATTTTCATGGTCCCCAAAGCTCTCAAAAGTCTCACTTTGCACCTGCTACCCTCCACCAACCATCTTCCCCACTGCCCATCCCAGAAATGGGCCTCATAATCCCACTGGCTCCATCAGCAGTGCTGACGGCTGGCTGGGCCAGGGCAGGAGCAGACCTGGGGTCACAAAGCAGGACACTCCTGCCTGTGGCAGTCCTGCCTCACATTAGCTCGACTTCCACCACCTGTGAATTCACACCATCATTTCCCCCAGAGATCTGAGTTACAGCAGGAGTGTGGCTGGTTTCCAAAAGGAGTAGAGAATTCATTTATTTTTTGCACCACCTATGGTCCTCATTGCTTTGTAGCTGTTTATGGGKTTTTTTGTGGTGACTATCAGCATTGATTTTTCTCCTAGTTTTGTGTATATGTGTTTTCTACTGGGAATATTTACTTGTTTCTTATCTCTCTTCTCTCACAGGGTGAAATTGAAGGTGATTCATCAAGTTAGGCAATTCTACCTCAAAAGAGACCATTCCAAGAGCATACGTGGAATTATTAGCTGACACCACACCAAGAAAACCCCACTGTCCATAGACTAACTCCATTCAGCTCTGTAGTCTTTCACTTACCCATAAACCATACAATGTATGTGAGCCAGACTCCTCTAACTGTAAGTACAGTGCAGGTGTGTACTGGGCTGTGTGTCTTTCCCAGCCTCCCTCCTGGCCTCCCAGTTGCTTTGTATATTTTGGTTGGACTCACTAATCTGTGTCTCTCATCCATATGCACTAGCACTTGGGATCTCTAGGCATTGTRGAAATTTTTTTTTAACTAATAAAAGGTGTTTGAACACGTTTTTTGTTTTGTCAGTTTTGTTTGCGCATTTTAGGTGTGGATCCTTCCAAACTGATGCATTCTTCCCGTGAAAGTGTGGTATTAGGATACAGGGAACTCAAAACTGTAAGGGCCTTCAATCATATTTTAAGATATGAAGAGTTCTGAATAATTGYATTTCTGAAGTCAGTACTGTAGGTAGGTTGGCTTTCTGTCCTTCAGGGCGGAAAACCAAATATTTCACTTTTTAAATACTTGCCATGTTTAAGAGAGAATGTACATGGGAGCAGGGGGGATACTGGATGAAACAAGGCTTTTGAAAGGAGTGTTCAAGTGATGCTGAGCTCAGTTTWTTCTGTTTGCACCAGAGCCTGAAAGCTGTCCTGACATCCGGGTGTAACAAGCTGCTGGAAGGTAATTAAAGAAATGTTATGGGCACCAACTGACCTGATCAGAACTGCAGGGATGAGCAGAAATGCATGAGTGTGAGGGTAGGGGTGAAAAAAGAATCTCCTGGTGCACCATGAGCACGGGGCTGGTATCGGTTACAGCACTCGGTCAGGCTGCAGATCAGCTGCTGAGTGAGAGCAGAGACCTTCCACATTACATTCACCAGCACAGAGAGCAGGAACATGTTGCTCACTGCTGTAAGTAATGGGCTAAGTTTAAAGCACATCAATAGGTATGGGTACAAAAACGGGTTTTTTTATCTACCTGCAGGCAGAGCTCCCATGAATCCAGGAGATGCCAGTGTAAACTGTTGAGATTTAAACCGCTTCATAATCAGACCATTAATCTTCATTAAGTTGCTTAATGATGATGACTATGGCAGGTGTTACAGAAGAGACTTGCTGTGGCATGGAAGCGTCTAGCAAGTGTGCAGGCAGCCTCTCTCAGGCATAACAATTTGTGTAAAGCATTGCCTTGCATAGACCACAGGATTTTCATCCCGGTGGGTCTTTGATCTCAACACAGAAAGGGAGAAAAAGAGCCCTAGCAGAGGTAACAAAGCCCTTTGGAAGAAAATGTATCTGGTATGTGCATACTCTTTTCTGATGTCCTACAAAACATGTACCAATTAAACAGAGCAACTAAATTGGAAAAGGTAAGAGGGTATAAAGACATACTCATGCCCAGCAGCAGGAGGCTGGAGTCTATTCTCAGTGCTCGCTAGAGAGAGACAGAAAAACCTTTCGCTCAAAAGCTTTGCTTTATGGGGATACAAACAAAAGTGTTTTGCAAAAAAAAGTGTTTTGCCAAAAAGGGAGGTGAATGCCTTCACTATGTAGGGCATGTGTGGGAGGCAGGAGCAGGCTGTAACTCAGARGAGGAGTAAGCTGTTCCCCAAATGCCCATCTCTCAAGCAGGCTTTGCCCCTGGTTCCAAGGGCTCAAACCAGGAGAGAATGATAATTACTGAGCTAAGAGTGCTGGGATACATCTSTGCTACACTGAGCTATGTGGCTGCTTGGGAGAGAGGCATGCAGTGCTCTGTTTCCTGCCYTGTGGGAAGAAAAGTGTTTCACCAGTTTACATACCTGTATCTGGAGCTGTGAGACTGAAAACACTGCTCAGCTACTGCCCAACATATGGGCATCAAAAGTGTCCAGACATTTCCTAAAGCTCTGCCTCTGCACTTGCCTGCTTCTCCCATGGGAGAGCCCTGCTCTGGGCCCAGGCTGGACGGGCATTCAGCCCTTTCCTGATGCAGTCCCTGCACAGGTCTGGTCCAGTCTCATGGCAGTCAGAGCTCAGAGAGTGTTTGTGCATCTTGCACTGGCAATCACAAGTCTTGGAGACAAACACCAGGACATGCAGTTTCCTGCCACGAGTACCCTGTGTCAGTGAGTGGGAACAGGGTAGTGCTGTGCCCATGCAATGGCTCAGTGAACCTCTATTTCCTCCCTGTCCCTTCTTCAGACTGGCTGTCACCCAGCTGTGGGGAGCAGAAGCCAGAGGCCTGAACCACCTTTGTCAGAGGTAAAAAAGGTGAACACTTGTTTCTTCTGAAGTAGACAGGTCTTTCATAAAAGAGACAAAATATTGTCTGTTAATTACTCAACTAAACTTCATTGTACATCTGTTTGGTTYGCTGCATGGAAAAGAAGTCTGTGCTTTCAGTGAATATTTGGACAAGTGTAATGAGAGTGAATGGAAGTGGAGTGATGGAGGAGATGCATCAGAAACATCCCACAGGGGAAGTGCTGGCACCCCCCTGCCCCAGGTGGATGCTGAGGGAAGCAAACACTAACAAAATCATTTTTTCCTGACAGATCAAGAGTGATCAAGAATTGCTTTTACTCATCTCATCCTGTGAATTATTGAAGTGGACTTTGTACATGTGATACCTCACACAAGCTGTTAACTGAATCTCACTGTGGTGAGACAGTGCCCAGTGCCAGCACAGTGTGGCCACTGCCTGTCCCCAGTGACAACTCTGGGCACTCACACTCTGACCTCTGARGGGATCCTGTGAACCAGGAGCAGCTGCTGCCAAGTGTTGCATCAACCTTGCCATACAAGTGACTGACAAAGGGCTGAAAAATACTTTTTTCCTCATTGTAACAGCAAAACTTCCTTGCCTTGTAAAACGGCAGTTATGCTTTATGAAGTGATTTGTTCTGATAGAGCTCATAGCCTTTGAGAGCTCCCCCCAATTACATYCTAGCCAATGGCTGAAGGGCATGCAGGGCCTGATTTTTCAAAGATGTCTGTCTGGGATGAAGAAGAGRAAACTGGCTCTCTACAGAATATCCCAAACAGCATTCCACTAATTTAAATGCAAATCAGGTAATAATACACTGAAAATCCCACTTCATTTGAAAGTCYTATTTTCCTGTCTGCATAATGCATGTCCTAAAACTGAACTCACAGAGCACACAATTAAAAACTGAAGGGCTATTTTTTTTAATACTATTCTCTATACAACCACATCCTCACCTCTTTGACACWGGCTTCACTGTTTCATAAATGCATTGAAAATCTACCAAATCACGAGAATATGCTTCATACTGTTAATAGCATAGCAGAAAGAGCTCCAATTAAAACTGGGCTTTCTGAGTATCAGGCAAAATTCCCCTGCCCACACGAGTCTGCAGTACCACACAGTTCCTCTGTCAAGTTTTGGCACGGCTTTTTGTGTGGCTCCCAGCATGTGAGGCAGGTCTGCATCTCCAYCTTTCCTCTCCCACTAAGCCCACATGGGGTGGGCAGCATAGCAGAAGGGCAGAGCCATAGCACTCCTTCCTCTCAAGGTGCCTGGAAATCTACACAGCTCTCCTGTAGACTTTGCATCACAGCTTACATCCCCAGCTTTCCCAGCCAGCCACTCCTGGRATAGGACCAGTTATTTATATCCCCAGTCCCATGCCCGATCTTAAGGTGGGAGTCAAGCCTTTCTTATCTTCCTACCCTTTCTAAGTTAAAGACCAGACAACTTTTTTTGTCTTTTCTAGTCCTGAACCTGCAGGATACTGTGAGGCTCCCCGGCAATATTTAAACATGGTTTCAGGTGCTCCAGAAGATGGTAGAAACATGACACTTCACCTGGATGTTACCTCAAGATTGAGAAAGCAGAAGGTAAAGAAYTCCATTTGCACTGGCCTTACRTTGCTCTCATGCTTTGAGASAGAGCTGGCTGAAGATTCCTGGAGTATGTTACCACSTGTGTAAAGGAAGAATCACTTAGACCTACTTTTCTCCTAGAACTGTATATCAATATTTGAACTGAACAGCTGATTTTGTTTAATCACAGCAACTTTAGTTTGGTCTTCTAAATGACTAACATATGACTTACAATAGTTGTATCTTTCTGTGAGCAAACCATTCCAYTTCTTAAGACAATCATTTAATGACCAAACATCATATCCTTTCCACACTATTATCAGTCTCTTTTAGCAGCTGCAAATGCTGAACATTGCACACTGTGTAAACTTGTGGAGTGATCCATGTAAAACTTTTTAGCCCATCATTTTATTTGCCTTGCTGATGGAAACCATACCTATCTATAAATCCCAACCCTGGTAAAATTAAAATTTAAGAAAACCCAAATAAATTTTGATATTTCTCAATTAACCTCATTTTCCCATTTTCATGAGTAGAACATAAGCTCTAGCTCTGATCATGCCATGTTAATTTGGGCAAGGCTAATTAGCTCACTTTTGTTTCAGTGTGGAATTAGGATAATGTTATTAATGCTAAGGATAAACAGATCTTCTCTGGAGCTATGACAAGTTGCCTGGTTGATGCCAGAGAGTTTCTTTGTTCCTTTCACTCACATTCTGCATAAAGTTAATTGACCTGGCTAAAGGGCTGAGAACAGCTGAAATCCACCTGTTTGCTGTGGCTTTGCTGTGGCTTTGCTGTGGCTGTGTTCTCAGGTTTGGGCAAGAAAAATAAGTAGGTCTGTGTTAGTGATTTGGTACAAAAACTGCCAGACCCCCCAGTACTGGGTGTCTTTTTATCTGAGTTTTTGCAAATTCAAGTAAGAAAATCATTCCAGGAAGGAAATCAGCAAGGGATTRAAAAATATACCTGATGTGAATATATGATTAAAAGTCTAATTGAGCAATTGAGGGGGAAAGAGGATTGCTGCTTGAAATAACAAAGGAGTGGTGCAAAARCTGACAAGAGCTTTCTGAAATGACAGGCGGAATAGGAGCAGCAGAGGAATGCACGGAACCTTTTTTTCTGTGACTCTTCCTCACTTGGGTACTAATGAAGTCCTAACCTTATGAGAACTGTCAGTGCCCACCCTAGTTCATCTGTGGCATCTTGTTCTCATGCCTGCTTACCAACACCAATCTTTACTCAGGAAGACAAATATGGGTAGGAGTGTGGCCATCTGAACAGAGACGCATTGTACCCCAGAAAATGGCAGTGAGGAACCCAAACCCCACAAAACCGGAGAGCCATTTGGCTCCTGACTCTGCCAATAGTTTACTTGTACAAAGTACCTTTGTCCTGGGCACTGATGGCAGGAAATATAAATTCCAAAAGCTAGTGGAAACCTGGGAAATGCCAGAGATTAAAGCCAGAAAATTTTATTAATGTGGTGGTGCTAGGAAAGGAAGTGATTTTAAGCGTAATTTCTGTACTAGGAGAGTGTTACCACARAGCCACATTAGGAAAATGTGGCTTTGCTAATTTGGCTTTTTTTCTCTCTTCTCCTGAGAACTGCTAGTGCTGGCAGTGGTTACCTGCCTCACCCAGGCAGGGCCTTCTGTGATGATGAGATTTGCAATCCAC